AGCAATTTGAGGTGGAATTTAAAAATGGTAAAACATACAGTCTTGCAAATGGTTCTCCAGTAGCTTCTACTAGCTCTTATCCAGCTATAAATGAAGCACCTGAATGTATTCCCTTAGTGAATCTAGTTATTAAAGATACAAATCTCCAAAGTACAGGATCATTTACTAAAACATTGCTTACATTTGAAGGAGAGGGGACAATCCAGTTCTCCTAGTGTACAAACATTTTCTCTCAGAGTTGGAAATAATTTGTAGGGCAGTGCCATCAAATTATGGCTAAATCCTTCTCATTTGTTCCCTCCCCCCCTCGGTTAAATTTTCTGTTATAACAGAATGGCATTCAATTTCTTTTTTAATTGTTGTATCTTCTTCATAAAGTATGGAGTGGGTACTACTTTGTAATAAACCAACAGATACTTGTGAATGTTTTTTTTGCCACATATAGGCATAAACAAAATAGCCTGCACTGAATGATAAAGAATATATCTACTCTACTTATTTTGTAGATGCACTTGGACTGTGAAACATATTTCTGTCTAAAAACAATTCAGCAAATAGCAATGCCTTTATTGGGGAGCATGATCTGATGGTTCATTTTACTCTGATATTAGAGCATGGTCTTTAAGTTAAAGAATGTACATATTCAGTCTTTATCAACACAATGCTCATAGTCTGAGCATTCTGCAATTTAATTTGCTCCTTAACAGACTTTTCATGCAGGGGTTAAGAACAGTCTGGTTTGTGAGGCTCTGCTATGTGAGGTCAGGCCTCTAAGTGACAAGTTTTTCTGAAGGGCAGGATTGTTCTCTTCTCACAGATTGCTATCTGTTTGCAAAAATTGTGTTTGGGTTCTCAGAATGATTTTCATGAGAAAACCTGGCTGACCAGGATTTTATTATTTTTTTTTATGGCAAAAGTCAACTCAAAGCTAAACTCTCTAAAACATTTCGTGACCTACAATGGAAAGACTACAAGGTGAGGTATAAACAGGACGTTGGTTAGACTTGCTAAATGTATATGAATTTTGAAGTATAGACCAACATATCTAAAGATCACGGAAGACGGAAAGGCTGTTGGTCTAGAATTATGTTTAACAGTAGCCATCATTAAGCTCCTTAAAGCCATTTTCATGACATATATGAATATCCCACTCTAATTCTTTTCCACCCGTTGTAAGATTCAAATTGCAACAGAAAACATATATATTGCAAAATAACAAAATTGCTTTTGTCTATAAAAGAAAACAGTGGCTGCTTAATGAAAAAAAAATTCCATTTTCCTGTTATCTTATACCTTAAATTTTTCATTTAATATTTCTTAATTTTTTGGTGCTTATATAACTTTGCTTACTCTAAAAGGGAGCAGTGGAATAGGTATATATTTATGGTCACTATGATTTTTTCAACCGCTAGAAATTAATATTGATAACTATTTATTACATTTTAAGAAATGTAAGTTGTAATAAATGAAACACTGGAGTTGTTTAAGTTTTTATTACAATAAACTATCTAATGCAACTGTAAGCAAAATTTAGACGCTCTTGATCAAACTATAAGTTTCAGAAGAAGCTGAAACAATCTTTCTGTAAATTTGAATGCATCCTTAACATTCAAGTGCTGCTGTTTATATTTTCAAAGTAAGAAGACAATGAATATAATAGGTTCAAAAGGTTGACTGCCCTTTCTGTCGCTATTCTGTAATGTCTCCTTTGGGAGAAATAATAGTTACCATTTTTTGTGTGTGTAGTCAACCACGTCTTTCTAGTCTTGTGTTGCTATTTTTTCCCTACTCTTCTCCTTTCTTAGGTCCTACACATTTGAGATTTCCCCAGATTTTAAATTATATTCCAAAGTATGTCTTTATTGATACAAAAAATTAGTTGAGGTTACCCTGATTGAGCTTCAGTATGCAAAATATGTATCAGCATACTCTTCAATTTATTTTAGAATCCAAATTCACAACTGTGGCAAGTTTGTTGCAACAGTATATGAAGCTGTAATGACACAATTGTAAAACAAAAGAGATGAATGTGCAGGGTTTTATTTATTTTGCCTTCTTTTTCTGTACCGAACTCCAATATGAAGTGTTCCTGGAAGAAAAAACTCAGAAAGAGAGGCTAAGAAATGGAGAACAATGACAAGAACTCATAAATGCTTCAGTTCTTTATAAGCTGTAAAACCTATAACATTCTGTAATAAACATGATCAGTTTTATTTTTATACTTTTGCTGAATTTGGGAATCAATATGCCTGAAGGGAATAAATTGGGGGAAGCATCATAGAAAAGATATAATATGGTATAGTCAGTGGTGGGATTCAGCCAGTTCGCACCTCTTCAGGAGAACCGGTTGTTAACTTTCTGGGCAGTTTGGCAAACTGTTGGAAGAAATCATTAGGCAGAGAACTGATTGTTAAATTATTTGAATCCCACCACTGGGTATAGTCATATCATTTTTCAAAAGTGTAAAGCAAAAGTGGTTAAAACAGAGAGTCCTATTTTTTTTTTAATTGGACACATATTTTCTTCGTTTACCTTTTCTCACTAATCAGAATTGCAGTATTTGCTAAAGATAAGTAATCTAATTGTTGTGGTTAGCTTCTTTGCTGCTGCCAATCTCTATGCCTCATTTTATTTTTTTAGATTCTTCTAACTAGAATAAATAGCCTTTATGAATGCTATGACATTATTTTCAAGAATGCAGTGAGGCCACTTAATCATTTTTAGATAACTGGGTATACTTAGCCTAACAAATATGCCCACCTGTTAGAGGGCAGGACAGGGAGTAGCCACATTGGCTTCTAGCTAGCTATGCCCATAATTGCACTCATATATTTTTTTTAGAATTTTACGTCAAGCCCTGTGAGGCTGGCAAAGTTAGGAAACAAAGATCACTTGGGCTTATGGAAAGATCTTTATGTTAGTAGGAAAATGTAACAGGAGTTTTAAAGCCTATCAAAGTAATACTCATGTACAACTTACACTTAGTGTAATTAAGGTGCAGTTCTTTTAATTTCTTTCTGGCACGCTCCCCATCACTTGGACTCAGAAATCTTTTATGTATGGCCCTTCTTCCTTAATTGTCTTGTTGCCCCTCTTATGTTCTTGAAATCTGGTAGGTCATATCATACTATCTCCCCCTTTAGACTCACTCTTCCCATCATTAAGGAATAGACTGGCAGCAATGACAACACTGCCAAAGATGGACTAGGCCTATTCTCAGAGTCATCTGACAAGTATGAAATTACAGAGTGAAGACAGAAAGGCCTTGAGGGACAGGAGGAAAGCTACTACCAAGTCAATTGTGAAATAAAAGGCTTTAGTAAGTTATCCTACTAAACATCTCAGATAAACTCCTTCCTAATTCTCATAAAGAGGGAGGGAGAGAGGAAGAGCATTCAGACTTGCAAGGTTTTTTAACTATAACTTTACAATAAAAGTAGTATAGTATTGCTCTACATGGCATTGAATTCCTAATCTTGAAAGCTGGAAGAATCCAAAAGGCTGGAATATATTCCATTTTCTCTATTCAAAGTAAGTCTAAAATAGCAGCTTACAAGGCAGGCGTGAAAGAACACAGTGCCTCTTTGGCGATCAAAGTCTGGTGGGACACTAGGTAGTTCAGGATGATATGGCTCATATGGAAATTTCAGATGGCAGAAGCTGCAGAAAAAAGACAGGCCCCTTCATCATAAAGATTATTGGGAAACATTGGGTGTACTTTCATAGCAGTGGGCAATTGCAAATAAAAGACTACAGGGCTGATCTAAATTGTCCCAGGGAAGGAGCCAGTAAATATTGAGACCAGTTTCTTGGATAGAAGGAAGGTAGAAAACAAAAAGTTACATCAAACGCCCCACAATTCTGGCACTGTTCTCCCTTTGAACATCAACTACCCATTAATATAGCCTGGCTTAGCCAAATCCTACTAGGATCAGCTGTGCTACTTGTTTCCCTTGCAGCAAATGAGAGGCTTGAGAAACCATAGAGCCTGGAATTGTATGGTGCAAATAGCCCCGTTGATACCTTAATTTGCTTGAAGAGAAACAAGCCAATAAAAACATATTGTTATATTCAAATTCTTCAGATAGCAACAGGTCAGGCAATTGATAGCAATGCAAATATAGTTCTGTCATTACATTTTTTCTCCTTTCTGCCCCATCAAATCTGGGCAATGTGCCAATGAAAGATAAGTATAAGTGCCCAGTAATTACAAGGCTTTCTATAAACCAGATTTAAATTGAGAGCCATAATGCAAGATCAATGATTAACTGATCACCAAAAAAAGCAATCTAGAAATAGTTGCATAGCCAGTAAGTCCAGTGTTGTTTGTCTCATGATTTCTAAGGATATCATCTGTTTCTGTTGCATGAAGTGTGTTTTGGCAACATTACTCCAGCCCTTTGATCATCTTAATTTCCCTTCTCTGAACCCTTCTCTATTTTCAGTATATGTTCGGAGATGCAGTGACATTCTTGGTTTATATAAAGGGATTATAATCTTGCCTTCTTTGTTGTCAATTCCATTTCTTATTCTAATATACTTTTGGCCTTTTAAAAATATTAGAGGCACATTGTGTCAATGCCATCATTGAACTGTTTACCATTGTTCCAAGATTTTTTTACCCTCAGTGGTTACTGTCACCTGTGACCCCATTAATTTGTTGGGATTCTTGACACCAACGTACATCACTTTAACCAATCGATTCAGCCATAAATTGAATTCACTAACTTCTAGTCGCTTTCACAGGCGACTAGTTTCTTTTCTCAACTTAAAAAAAAAAACAACCCAGTTTGCAAATCAAATGTGAGATTTTCGTAACCTGTGAGCAACAAATTATTATTTTTGTTAATGATAATAATTAATAATAATTCGCAGCTACTCCACTCTTTCCGATAGGGAACTGCATTTCCCAAGGTGCTCCGGGTCCGCAAAGCGCTGAACGCGCTTTTGGAATTGACTCCAGCGAGGCCCTGTAGCCGCCGGCGGGGGTGGCTGTCAGGCGCTGACGGCGGAGGGGACGCGCCCAGTTTGTTACTGCTTCCAGTGAGCGAGGCGGACGGGGGAGCGGCGCTGGCGGACCGCGGACGTCGGCAGCGACTGTAACGACCGCTCGGCTGTGGTGCGGAGGAAGAGCGGAAGGTCTCTCCCGCCCGCGACGACGGCTCCAGCCATGGACGACCAGGCTGGCCCCGGCGTCTTCTTCAACAACAACAACAACAACGCGCTGCTTTTGCCGCCACCTCCGGGCGGGGCCGGGCCGGGGTTGGAGTCGGGAGAAGCGGCGGCTGCGGCGGCGGCTGCGGCGGCCGCCGCTGGCAGCGCTTCGGCAGGGCCGGCTCCGGCCTCTGCAGCGCGGGCTCAATACAGCGTCCCCGGCATCCTGCATTTCCTGCAGCACGAGTGGGGCCGCTTCGAGGCCGAGAGAGCCGAGTGGGAGGCGGAGCGAGCCGAACTGCAGGTAGCCTCCCTCCCTCCCACCCTTCCCGTTGCCTTCTTCTTCTGCTGCTGCTGCTTCTGCTGCTGCTGCTGCCGCTGCTCCCGGCAGGTTTGCCAGCTCAGGAGCCGCCGCCTCCGCCGCCTCCAGTCCCAACCTGCCGTGCTCGTCTCCTTTCTCTCTCCCCCCCCCCCCCCCCCTCAAGGGGGGTTCCTTTGCCGCCTCCGCCGTGCCTTCCCAACTGCTGGACCGCGGGGCGGCGATGGCCTGGGGGCATTTCGGAGTTTTTTGGGGAGGGGGGGAGCCCCGGCTGCTCGTAGGGAGCTTTGTCTTCCCCTCGCCAACCTTTCCTCACCAACTTGGGAGGATGGTTGTTGGACGCCTCTACCTTGCAACCACTGGTGGGTTTCAGGCAGTTCGCACCACTTCAGGAGAACCAGTTGTTAACTTTCTGAACAGTTTGGCCAACTGGTTGTTGGAAGAAATCATTAGGGTTGTTAAATTATTTGAATCCCACCACTGCTTGCAACCCTTCCCTTGTACTTTCTCTCCCACCACCACCCACCACCCCCAGCCCTCCCGGCTTGGTCCTGCGGTGGATGAACATTAGCTGCGAAAGTTGAGTATGGGCACCCAGGTGTTGCCTCTGAGGTCTATCTAGTTCGCCGTAAATCCAGCGTGTGCCGTGTTTTGCCTTACTTTCCGTACAAAAAAATGTGTGGTTAAATCATTTCGGAGATTAAATGGGGGGGGGGGGGGAAATTGCTACCGTTTCTTGCTGCAGAATAAATGAGCCGTGTGATAAGATACCCCTACAGGTAGTTCTCGACTCATGACCGTAATTGAGCCCAGGATTTATGTTGCTAAGTGCACAATTTGTTAAGTGAGCTTGGTCCCATTTTACAACTTTTCTTAAGGGAATCTCTGCAATTTGGTCTGGTCACACGGTCAAGATAACCAGACTGGAAAGCTTTGAGACTGTGAATTCTACTCCCGCCTTAAGTCATGAAAGCTGACTGGCTGACTTTGGGCCAATCACTTGCTCTCAGGCCGCGCCCCACCTCACAGGGTTGATGTTGTGGGGAAAATAGGTGGAGGAAAGTGTTCAATATAGCTGCCCTGAGTTAGTTGTAAAAATAATAAAAAAGCAGCATAGAAATAAAATAATCTTGTGGGATGGTCTCTCCTTTTCTTCCATGAGAGAATCCATGAAAGAATGGTCATTTCTCCACTAACTTTGTCTAGTAGGAACTCAGAGATGCCCATTAAATATATTTTAAAATCAATAGTAAAAAAAATGTTAGCTTCAATATGTCTCAGTGCTGATTACAGGGTTTTTTTTCTACGTAAAGCCCTATATGTTTTCCCTAATATAACTAAGCCTGCCCAATTATAACATCAGAAGAGAGCCTGTTCTATATGTCTCCCTAAATTGGAAGACAAGGGAGTTTAACCTAGGAGACAGGCCTACTTGGTAGTGGCTTCTGCCATATGGAACGTGCTACTCCCAAATAGTTCCCATCTGCTGACATTTCAGAACAAAATTGTCGAAACAATTTTATTTCAGTAGGCTTCTAAGTCAAGGACATTTTACTGGTGTAAACCTAATATTTTCTGGTTTTTTTGTTGTTATTCTGACTTTGTATTGTTGATTATTTTATGGCTAAAGATTGGCTTTGGGGTGGCTTACATGCTGCCTAGAATTATATGGATTGGGGAAGTTTAAATAATGTTAAATAATTTAATATTGTCTATTGTAATGGCTTGTTTTGCCTGTGCCATTTGATTTTTGAATATAAATTTCAACATTGCTGTGTATTTACTTTGGAGTAAGCCAGATCTTTGCTAAGATAGTACAGACAAGTAATAATGGTGGAAAATATATTCCTTGGCATTTTATTCAATTTTCGTAAGTTGCAGTTTACAAAAATACTAATTAATATAATTGTATTGGAATTAAAATTGCTGAATTTACGGTATTAATTCCATATTTTAAAGTTACCACTCTATAATTTACCGTACAAGCAGAAAAGTAGAAATATTAATTGTTATGATAGGATCAGGAATTTTGAAAAAGTTTAGGCCTTTTAGATGTAAAGAACAAATGAACATGCAGTAGGTGACTAGCTGCTAACATGCTAGATACACAAAGTTTGGTTTAGTAGATCACTCACACATCACTTGCCTTTAGACGTATATATCCAATAGCAGTTAAGATTTTTTTCCTTTGCTAATGCGCAAATGTTTTTAAGAATGTTTGAGAAGAGAACAATAACTCTTCTTAGGCAATATTAAAGTGGTATTATTCACTAGAATGTATACTTTATTAAAATATTCACACATTCTAAAATTCTGACTGCAAGTTTGGATACCCTTCACTTTTTTAACAGCTGGTTATCTTCATTTGCCTAGATTCTGTCATTTTGCCATTTTTAATATTTCATTTTCTACCCAGAAGACTGGGAGGTATTTCATTAAAGGGCCTTAGGCATTTCTCTAGAGATCCAAGGTTTTTCTTAATATAAACTTCTCCATACCCAAAGATCAGCAGAAAGTCCCCTGTTAAAGATATTTTCAGTTTCCAAGGGCTGTTCTGTCCGGCACACAAAAGAAAGACTTCTTCAATGCTGATTGCATGCTGTGGGTTATATTTCTCAGGAGTTGGGCAAACTCTGCAAGTAGGCAGATGGTGTACTAATGCAAAAAACCGTTTGTCCCATTGTCTGCAGGAGTGGGAAATGTGATAAAACTACTTTTGAAAATGCTAACAGGTTTAACAGTCTGGCCACAAATAAATAGCAATTTTTGTCTAACTCCACTTCTCCAGATTCTTAATAACTTATCTTTTTCAATTCTTGAAGAATGATGTTAGTCCAATTTTTGCCACAGAAGCTCATTTACAGAGCAAAACTTATTCCTCTTTAGGGTATTCCTATGTTGAATCAAGTAATCATTTATTCAAGAGAGCAGAGACTAACCTGTGCAAGGAATTATACACCACTCCTGAAATAAACATTTCAAGGACAACCTATGAATAATAAACATGATACTAAATAATGCTTTAAATATTGTTGAGGTGTGGCTTAAAGTAAGCCTAAAAAATTAATTGTAACTAAAAAAAAAGTAACATCAAAAAAACAGTGTCAGGAAGATATTTTTCCAGTGAAGCACCATAATTGAGAGGGGCCTTTCCAGTGCCACTAATTGTTTTTGCATATTTAAAGATTATATTTAAAGGGAGGCTGGCACTCTTCTATTCTCTATCAGCAAGAGATTTCAATGCCATTATTGAAGTAATGATAAATTACTTTTTTACTTCAGGAGAAGCTAATTGGAGAAGGAACTTAAGATGGACAAGATTCCCTATAGGAGGCAAAACTAAAAGTATAGTTGCAAATGATTGCAGTGAGGAAAAAAGCAAAATAAATGAGTATGTCTATACAAAAAAACTAGTGAATATTTGAAAACATAGAAGGACACATAAAGGGAATGGAAAGAAGGCCAGGTAACAAAGGAAGAGTACAGGCATATAACTTTGAAGTGTAGAGCTGGTGTCAGGAAAGTAAAAGCACAGAGCATTAGGCTGAGAACAAAAATGGTTTCAGTAATTAGGCTCAAAGTACAAAGAAAATAGCAGCAGCATACAGCTGCTCAAAGAAGGAGGCAAAACTGGTAAGAGACACAGAAAAACAGATCTTTCAACTAATGGCTTTGGGCAGTCTTCTTAAAAAGCAACTTTTATGTGTTGTACTAGGAAATTGTGAAAGACTATATGAAAAGGATGGAAGTTTGAGTTTGATCAGAACATAGTAAGTGCTTCATTACTTTGAATTCTTTATCTCTAGGAGGTGATGGATTACATCTATGGATAGTAAAAGACATAAGAGTCTTGCCATATCTATGCATTGTATTTGAGGCATGTAAGAGAGTGAACTATCACATGACTAGAGGAGAGCAAATGTCTCTATCTTCAAAAAGGAAAAGAGCGAAGTTTTATGAACCATAAACCAGTCATTCTGATATTAATACCTGGAAAGATTCTAGATCAGATAATTGATTTGTAGGCATTTTGAAAACAATGTAATTGCTAGGGTAATTTATCAGGTGTACATTCATCAAGAACAAATCTTCCCTCTTATCTCACTTTTTGATTAGGCAACTTATTTAATTGATATCAGTCTTCAGCAAAGCATTTGGCAACATGCCTTACCTTTATAATATACAGATTAGCAAGCACTCTGAGCTGGATGGTATGACAATAGGCGCATAGCTGGTCTCCGCTAAACTCAAAAGTGTTATCCGAAGTAGTTCTTCATAAGTTGAAGGTTTCAAGTGAGATACCACAGATTAAACATTATCAGTTTTTCATTATTTTCATGAATGAATTGGATGTAGTAATGCAAATGTTTATCAGATTTCCAGATGCTAGAAATTTGGGTGGGATAGCTAATGTCTTAGTTTCACATTCTTTTGCTGTCTTCTGTTTTAGAAAAATGGGCTGAAAATAATAGAGTGAAATTTTAAAGAGACAAGTGCAAAATTGTTCTTTGGAAACAAAAATAAAAAAAAAATACATGTAAAAATGGGAGATTAACTTCCATGGTAACAGTACCTGTGAAAAAAGATGTTGGAATAATAGCTGTAGTGAACCTACAGTAGATTTCTGCTCCACGCTACTAAATTCAAGTTTGCTTCCAAGTTCAATTCGAAGTGCTAGTAATGACCTGTAAAGTCTCATGCTTGAGGATGGTTATTTGAGGGGCCACTTCTTCCTAATTGCCTCTATGTACAGTGAGATGGAGCAGTAGAGAGCATGTTGCATCTGATGGGATTTAGGAGATCTTTTTCTTTAGTGGTGACCATATTCACAATTCCAAGAACCTGCCTTCTAGAACATCATTTCCCCTGAGGTCAGATTGGCCCCGATCTTGGTCACCTTCTGGAAGGGCCTGAGAACATAGCTTTGCAATCTGGCCTGGCATGGATCTAGTAACATGGTATGAAACCAACAAAGTGGGTGTACATGGACTCCTCACTAACCATGTTTTCAGTGACCATTGGAAATTATGACAGTGCTCAGCAAAGGGGCTTGCAATCTGTGCCTGAAGTTATGGTTGCTCCAGCACCCCTGTGATTTCATAATGAAAATTCAAGTGCTTGGCAGTCTGCTCACACTTATGACTGCAGAGGTATTGCAACTATCTCCACCTGCCTATCTCTCCTCCCACCTCAGCTGCCCATCCAGCCCACCAGCATGCTCAACGCTACTGTGGCCCAGACACTTCAGCCTATTTACTGCCCAACTAGACTTGGGAGGCATCAGCTTACCACCATTCCATAAGGCCTGGGAGGCCTCGTCTGATTACAGAGCCCAGCAGCATGTGCATAGTACTTATTTTTAGGGTTTTTCTGCAGCTACTGAGAGGCATACTCACCTTACTAAATCTGCCTGTCACCATTCTCCAAGTGGGCACCATTCTCACAATTGCACGATTTGGAAAATGAGGTTTCTGAACACCACGAGAGCTGGCTCCATTCTCACAATCATTTGGAAGGTTACAGGATCACTTTCTCCCAATTACGTTAGCTCAACCTAATATAATTTGAAAGGAACAATTGCTAGTGATTCCACATTTTCAGACTGTGATGAGATCCAAGGTTCCAATTGGAGATCAGTCTCCTCCCCCACCAGCCTTTAAGAAGCTATTAGAATCTTATTCTGTACAGCATTGTTGTATTTAAATTTTCTTAATTTATTGCACTATTTTTTATTTCATTCTGTTAAATTTATTGTCATTTATGTTAGTAGATTCAACCTAGATTTTTAATCATTTTGTTGTATTTACTGCAAGATCCTGAGAGTCTGTTTATTATGGCATGATATAAATAAACTTTGCAGTAAAGGCAGGTACTGGCTTGCCATTCTACAGATGTCAGATTTTTTTTTTGCATGTGGAACAAAGTGAGGTTCAGCAAAGATTTCGAAGTCACCAATTTCTTCCAGTTATACCCCCTTTACTATCCTGGAGAATCCCCTCAGTCTTTTGAGGGACTCACTCAAAGGAGCCACAAAAGATGCTGAAACAGATGAGTGCAGAGAACAACAAAAATGCAACTAATGCACGAGTGGCCATATTCACAATTCCAAGAACACTGTCCACTTTGGTGGACACAATGGGATCAAAGTCTTCCTAAATGAAGTCCACCTTATGGGTTGTTCCTGGCCTTGGTTATCTAGCTTAGTGAACTCCATAAGACTTGAATTGAAGCAACTTTATTTGATTGATGCTGAACATATTCCCCTCAGTAGTTCTCTAAGTGAATATTCAGCTCTATCTTTCCCAGGAGAGATAGGCTCACTGTAAACTGGCCCACTGGGTAGCTGTATGCAGGTACAATAAAGATAGAGAAATGTTGATGTTTTGTCATCCTTATCACCGTGAATTAGATCCGAATAATATATCTAGATCAATGCTCAATTGGGTTTATTCCCTGTTCCCCTTCAGTGGTGCTGGAGACATCTCTTCTCATGCTTTCTCTCACTAAACTGCTCTCAAAGAAAATGCTGGGATCCATGTGAGAAAAGTTGCATAGGTATGATCCAATCCTGAGCCCCAGTTGTCCCCTCATTCCAGCAGTGATTATGGTTTTGCTTGGACAGCACACTAGCTCATCAAGAATTATCAGTGAGGTGATTTTGTTTTTTGGGACTGTTGAATTCAGTTGGGCTAGAGGAACTGTAGAGAATGTGCTTTTATCAAGCACAAAACCATATTATCTACGGTTCCTCTAGCTGTAATCTTTTTCCTTTTTGAAATTCTTTGAAGCATGAAATCATCACAGTTGTATTCATTGTTGTTTTTTAGCTAAACTATACCTTTTTATTAGATTACTTTTGTTCTATTGCTGACTATTATACTATTGTCTTTGTGATAAATAAATCTACAGTATACGCTTAGATTTGTTACTCTTCATTAATGTATTGAATAGTTTAGAAAATACACTAGTATGATGCATTCGTGTATGTATATTAATATTAATTTTCTTATTGTTTCATTGAATAGCAGTTCATTTCTTTTTTATTAAAATAATACATCCTACTATGCCAGAGGTATTAATCTTCTCTTTACAATATTTTCCTGTTCCCACAGGGGGATAATATGTGCCCTCCCTACTGCTCCTTTCACATTTATTGCTGATATTCAATGTCAGGTTGCTCAAGCTGACATGTTATAGGATGTTTGAAATTGCAAGTTAACAATTTCTGGTGGCCCAAACATATCCCTTCCCTAATATACCTTAATGTAATGATAAGTCCCTAATATACCATGAAAAAATGATGTGTTTAGAGAATGTCATATTAGTATGAGTAGGTGTATGCTACAGTCAGATGGGCAAATCAATTATTTTTGTCAGAATACTGTTACTTGATGGGTTTACAAATGAACAAACCAGGATGTTGAATAAAGCAATACTTTGCCTCAAAAATTTTTGCCTGGGGATTTAGTTCTTTATTAAGAATAATACTTTTCAAATATTTTGTAATGGAACTGATGTAAGAAAACATCTTGATTTTCTATTAATCTTTCTATTTTAAATTATTTATTTTAGGCTCAAATTGCTTTCCTTCAAGGAGAAAGAAAAGGTCAAGAGAATTTGAAGAAGGATTTAGTGCGAAGAATAAAAATGTTAGAATATGCTCTTAAACAAGAACGGTATGGTGCTTAAGTTGTAAATATCTTATGAGCTGTTAATTGTTAAATGCAAGAACTATTTACTATTTTATATCAAAGCCAATATTATCTTTTGCCTATTCTTCTCTCCAGTACAAAATAAAATGTTATGAAATAATTTATAACTAGGTGCAAGACATCTAAGTATAACAGAAAGTTTGTAAAAAAAAAACTAGCCACTCTTAATTCATGTTTTTATAATTTTATTAAAAATTTAAAAAGTAAAGTTTAAAACTAATACAAACTAGTATAAAGAAAAAGGAAAGAGAGCTAAAAGGGGAACATGTAAGAAATCTGAATTTCTTACCTGTCCACCAAGGATGATAAAATGTTCCTTCTTGATGTTCACATTTCCAATATGAATTTGAAGTACCTTTATATATTCTAGACAATTTCTTTGATGTCATATACCAATGACTACATCATTTTATATAATTTTCTAAGTTTATAACATAGTATACATTTCAATCATTTAAGGCATATATTTTCCCACTATTCCTTCTGTATATTATAATCAAAAATTTTAGCCCACTTTATCATACATTCTTTTATTTTTTTCTTCTGTTTCAAATTTCAACTGATTTATGTTTAGCAAATTACATGTTCATCATTTGTACATAATTTCATTTCAAACTAACCCTGAGAGTGTTCAAAACTATAAACTTGGGTATTTTAAAATTTTCTAATAATTGTAAATACGAAAACTTTGGCAACTATACCACTAGTTTTTCTCTTGATTTTATTTTGTATTTTCCTTGACATAATTCTAATATCTCATGATAAGTTAGCCATTTGTGTTTGCCTATTATTTATTGTCTGTAAAATGCTACTTATATTGAGAGCCACAAAGGTGTTTTTGGGCGCAATCTGAGTTTGTATCTAGTCCATAGTCTCAGTATGGCATGCCTAACATAATGATTTTTTAAATCCTGCCACAGATACTCATGCCACCCAAATCTCAAGTCATGTCCTAAAAGCCTTCACTTAGCAATACGCATTCTTTCATTTAAACCAAACAGTAAACAGCAATATACAATTTCAAATCAAATAAACTCAATCCTCCTCTTTCCTTTGCATCCCGTGACATCTTATATTTAACTTGCCACACAAAAAATATATCCTTTTGCCACTGTTTAAATGATGCATCAGTTGTCAAAACAATCGTTTCAGACAAAACAGATATTGTCTGAAACAAAAACTTTCAAATATATATCATTAGAAAGATAAGCAGCTCGTAATATTTTCTATCACTGAAGTTTGATTTATTAGTTTTCTTAATTTGAGATAAACTTGGTGATTTATTGCATTTCGAAAACTCTGATCAAGTGAGATAAGAGATGATGACATAAGAGAGATGAGCAATCAATTTGTAAATACAGAGTGCAAATGAAAATAAAGCATTTTAATTTCTGCCACATCAGGTGGATTGAATGTGTTCTCTTAAGCTCTATACTATATACTCTCTGAATTTCTAGATTCTGACCAATCAAAATCAGTATGCCCATCCTAAAGACATCATATTGCCTACACCTATTTTAAATGCTCGAGATTGCTTAGTATAATTTTGGTTTTATATATACTGTATTTATACATCAATATTTAAAATGGTTATGTTTATTTTTTTATTCATATCAATTGTTCATGTAAAGCATTTGATAAATAACTTGAAGTGGAAATGACATAAATGATTTCCATCTTTTTCATCAGTAGGAACCTTGCAAAGATCTCATTTTCTGTCCCAAACACTATTTGTAGAATTGACATTACTGGGACATTGAAAATGTGATGTTATTCCAGATATTAAAGAAAGGTGGTTGAATTTGTTTGATCTATCTGTTTTGGAAAAAGCAATATTTTCCATCAATCAAGGGGTGCAGCAATATCTGTTACTATGGCAGAGATCTTTACAATAATATTTTGTACTGATTATATTACCGTTATATATTTTATTAGTAAACCAATGACATAAGTATAAAATATACAATAGATTTTTTCCCCTTCTTAGTTGCACTTTTGGTTTGTTTGCCATTGTTTAAAGATTGCTTTGTTAATTGTATATGTTAAGAATGCTAAATAAAACCCAAAAGTGTTTTCAAAATATTTTTTTAGTTCTAACTTAGTGTTATAAATTAATCTGATCACATATAGAAAAAAGCCAAGGACAAGAATGTTTGAGTAAAAATCTTAATGTAGTTGGTTCTACATTTATTTTAAAATCCATCAAACTGTATCTGTTTTGTTTTTATGCTAATATCAAGGAGTTTTTCCTAAGAAATAAAAGTATCCTAATAAACTTAATTGATATTCTTCTCTTTTAAACATAATCCTCAGCAATCTGATTTATCTAAGGATTTTTTTTTATTAAACCCTTGATTTCCACAAAAAGTACATGATAATAAATTTCTAATGTTTAAGAGATCTCAAAATTCCATCGTTTTTATTTGTATGAGATTCTTTTGAGTTATAATCTGTTTTATTATCCATAACATAAGCAAAAGTTAAACTCAAACCTCAAACTGATTCTAATGTGGTTATTTTAAGATTAGAGTTTTCTTGTAGATTGTGTTGTGATATTTTTCTTAGCAGCTTTATGTTTATGTCTCTCAGTTTAGCAGCAATTCTTGGTTTTTCTGTACATAAGAGTATTTGCAGACTTGTTAAGCATAGCTGAATTGGGTATGTGATTGTAACTTGTCAAACTTTTTAAATAAAAACTGCATGAAATTACCCACATTTTTAATTTATATACTTTAAGTATGTATAAAGCATTGATATTTTTTAAAAATAGAGAACATTTTGAATACATCTATGCTTGTGGGAATATGTAGATATGAAAGAGAAAGGAGACAGTGACACTTTTCTACCCTAATTGATTCCTCTTTTCTTTATAGAGCTAAATATCACAAATTAAAATATGGTACAGAGCTGAACCAGGGAGATATTAAGCCACCAAATTATGATTCTGGTAAGAATTAATTTTACAGAGGAAGACAGTTAAGACTGAAGAAAAGACAAAACTGTCATTTTGTAAAGAATGAGGGTCTGGAATAGTTTAGCATGAAACAGTGTTTAGGGCTCATAAGAGAATATGGGCTGTTCCTTTTCACGTGTGGTTCTTCCCAGGGGTGAAATGCTCCTGGTTTGGACCGGATCGCCCAATCTGGTAGTGATGGAGGCGGGTGGTTCGGAGAACCGGTAGCAAAAATCCCTCCCCCCCCATGCCCAGCTGAGCCGCACAATCATCAGAGGCTTTTTCTTTTTACTTTTAAAAGCATTTTTTCTACAACCTCTTCGGCCGAAAAAATGCTTTTAAAAGTAAAAAAAAAAAAAAAAGCCTCTGATGATCGCGCAGCTCAGCTGGGATTGTCAAAGGCTTTTAAAAGAAAAAAACCCTTTTTTTCTTTCAAATGCCTCTGACGATCAAGCTGAGTTGCCTGATCGGCAGAGGCTTTTTTTCTTTTAGATGCCTCTGCCGATCAGGCAACTCAGCTTGGATCGTCAAAGGCATTTAAAAGAAAAAAAGTCTCTGCCGATCAGGCAACTCAGCTTGATCGTCAGAGCCTTTTGAAAGCATTTTTTTTACAACCTCTTTGCTGAAGAGGTTGTAAAAAAAATGGTTTTAAAAGTAAAAAAAAAAAAAATTGGCCACGCCCACCCAGTCACATTACCCCCCATACACACCAAGTCACGCCCACAGAACCAGTAGTAACAAATTTTAGATTTCACCACTGATTCTTCCTCCTAAACTTGTTTAAAGTTAAGATTAATCTGCCACACAGACAGTCCTATAAGTTAAGTTTTTAAACTTTGATACTAATTTTGTCTCAACTGTGCCTGAGTGATCATATGGTTAAATTATTTGATAGGCCTCTTTTCACTTTTTGTTGTGGTTAGTCAGAAAACTAATTTAGTTACAATTAAAAATTGGACAAAAATCTATGCATGAACCTTTTGCATAGAATTTGTAAAATAAATATTGGCTAATTAACATTTAATAACTGGGAAAGCAGATAATAAAAGCAATATAAACAATATGGGATTCAGATTAATTGCATTGGTGATTGGATAATTGAAATGGATGGATTTCTTGGGTTCAAACTGAAATTGGCACTGACTTCACTTCTTATATAGTTATTTTAGAATAGAAAACCACTGTAGGTAATGATAATACATTGTCCTTTCAGTGCTATTAACCTAAAGTCTTATTTTCTGTTTGAAGCTGTAGGAATTTAGTGTATATTCTATGTATATAATTAGGTTGGTGTAATTGTTTTCATTGCCATTAAACATGCCTTTAAACATGCTGTATAGTGGATTAAATTTTCTGCAGAAATATATTTTTTGGGGTAACCATAGAATAATATCCAATGTATATTATATTTATTTAAAATTTCATACAACATCTTTTTATTTTGTTTTACTGTTCTTTAAATAGGATGGGAATATTTAATCAGTGCTAGAAGATAAATTTGCATAAAAGTGACTCTTCTTCTAACATTGTTGCTTTACTAATTTTAGTCTTGTCTCTGTTTTTCAGATGAAGGAAATGAAACTGAAGTTCAGTCACAACCCAATAGTCAATTAATATGGAAACAAGGGCGACAGTTACTCAGACAGTAAGTTGTCTAAGAATAATAAGCATAATAATGACTTCATAATATGATGGGAATAAGCAAAATGTTAGTATCTCTTTTTTTCAGCTCTGGTAGCTATGATGATTAAAAGTAATGCGGTGCCATTAGTTCATCTTTTCCTTAACTTGCAAAAGCTATTTCATTGTGGTAAAATCGACAGTTTTTATAGCTTTATTTTGATGTTTGGCTGATAAAACTCACTGCTCTGGATTCAGTCACTCCTCCCAAATTTTTACTGGGGGAAAGATGAAAAGAGGAGCCAATTATTGCTGGTTTCCTTGGTTTCCCCTTTATAAAAAAAATATAGCTGAAGATCTGTGAGGAATTTTCTTCTTGACTAACATAATGAATAATTGTGAATGCATGGATAGAAAAGCTCTCTACTTTTCATGGGAGTTGTAGAGGCTGGTACTGCAGGAGACATCCCCTCTGCAGCTGGTACAAGTTGATTTGTAAGCCTGTTGTGTCAGGCAAAGCTATATTATTCCTCTTACTACTTAAATTGTTGATCAGTTCTGGGTAGAGTGTATCAAATGTTCAACGCATTTGATTGCTCCTGAATAACTGCCATGTAATTGTTCATACAGATACCTGCAAGAGGTGGGATATACTGACACAATCCTGGATGTGAAATCAAAACGAGTACGAACGTTGCTGGGTCTCTCAGGTGATGGTCCAGAAAGGGAAACTGACAAAAACCAAGAATCAATGGTGAACGGCACTGATGTTGAGATTAAACAAAAAGTGATGATTGGGTAAGTGTTCTTAATAATGAGAAATTGTAGAAATTGTACTTTGAAAATCTCTGTGTTAAAAATGAAGTTATTTTATGTTACACCTATGTGGTGTAATGCTGTTTTTAAAGGAAGGAGCAGTCTCTCTCTTTCTCTCTCCTCATTTCTGTTTTTGTAAACTATGCAGTTATTATATTGAATGGAAGAAAAAGCCCACTGCATGATTTTTTACTTCTTTCTCTAACCAATACTATGCTTGTCTTGAAAGACATACCATGGTATGTCAGGTTTTCAACACTAGCATAGTTTCTGTGAGAGAAAAATCAAAAGACCCAGTGATGATCATTGTTTACTTTCCCGATGGCATTCTAGTAATTTAGCATATTGGTATAGTGTAAGGTAGTAATTAGCTGCTGTTGAATAATTTAGAACTTGTCATGGATGGAATTGGAAGAAAATAAAATATAAATTGTTTGTAGGAAGATTTAATTCGTGGACTCTGCATTTTTGGAGGTCTTCACTCCTCTAGGAAATGTAATTGGTGGGAATGTATTTTTATTTAATGTTACCAAAATAATTATAAATCAATAAATGAAGCAGACTCAGGACAAGGAAACTTTTAAGAGCAAATTTTGTATTTATTATTCCTCAAAGTAATTTAAAGTTGACCTAGTGCTTCCTTAAGGAAAAAATAATTATTCTGTCCATAGTGTTTTTATGCAAGCCAATATATTTGCTAATGTACAGATCCCAGTGAAACTTATATACTCAAGAGCATCATATGAATTCGAATGCAACCTGGAAGATTTCAAGCCCATCCATGGAAACATTATTTTGATAGTTTGACAGATATAATACTACTCACACATGTTTCATAATGTTTAATGAAAGAAATGTTGCACTTCTTCAGATCAGCAGACTTCTTTTATGAAAGATAAGTACCATATGTCAGCATGAAGCCCACAGGGATACTAAACAATTAACTGATATTAATATCTAGCATTTCCAGGGTTTGCTGTGAATATGAAGGGTGCATCTTGCCATTAACATTTTTTGATAAAAGAAGAACAAATCAATAAAATGCCATATTTTTTGGTATAGCCTTGCATGGTATACCAGATAGTTTTCATTTAATCTCTGCTTCTTTATTTTAATGTTGTTGGGTTTTTTTTTGTTTTTTTTTGCAAATCGAGTAACCAATATTTAGATATGCATTATTTTAATACTGGATATATAATATATAATAAAATCCAAAACTTGTCAAACATTCTGATTTTTAAGATTGACTTACAAGGCGTATCATTTAAATCTGTTTTTTGCTAGGCAATATTGACCTAAAACCTACTTTAATTTAATATATTTTTATTCTGTTAAAATTCAGAAATAGAAATATGTCTTATATTGATAGACTGTAAAATATTAATAGTTTTGCAATTCATTGACTTAACTTCAGTTTGAAATATCATCCCTACAAAAGTTTTCATGTACAGATGAGCTGATATAAAGACTTGGGAAGAACTTAGAAATGTTTTTTTAAAACGTGCGTTTGCTATGCTAGATGGAACTTTGCTTCTGAATAACAGGCCAGTTCAACCCAACATGTCTTCTTTCTTGTTAGTTCTTACTGTTCGCAGCCTGTGGCTTGCCTGAACAGAATAAACTTGCACTAACCCAAAGAAGACACTTGGATTTTCACTGATCATCTTTCTACATCTTCAGCCTCCTGCATTGCATCAAATGTTATAAAAGATCACTTCATGCTCACGAACAGATACAGAGGCTTTACAGGAAGGAGAAAGTAGAAATGTGCTTTCTTCAATCAAAACACTATTAGTGTTCTTAAAATTCAAATCTTTCTTCCATATTTCCAATATGTTTTGTTCCTGGGATTATAATTTCCACCATTCTTTGCCTCAGGCTGGTTGGCCTTTTATGATAGCACGTTTGATAGCATTATGAAACCAGTTTCAGAAATATATTAAAACATGTTACACCATTGAAACAAATGCTCCAAATTTGGTTCAACACAGTTTAAATGTATAAGAAACTTTTTTAAAACCTTGAATTAGAAATCTATAGGAATATGTTTAAGCATTTGTACTGAAGTACTAGCTGTAACAATTTAAGTTGATTTTCATTATGGTAAATATATATCATAGAGCTGAAATCTAACTTTTAGCTGAAATTATTCCACAAAAGCTTTACTGAAAATAGGCAATAAATCTGTGTTTTGTGAGAGATATAAGTAGTTATTCTTCCCAAAATAACTGTTAAATTTGTGTATTAAATGGTTATTTATTTTAAATTTGATATGTTCTTTGATTTTACTGCTGCCATTCCCAAACTTGTTGCCATAGCACCGTGGTGTGCCAAGTGAACTCACAGGGTGACACAAGATATTTTAAATTTTTGAGGCAAATAAAGCAGTTCTTGATGTCTCTCAGACACCATGGAAAGTACTGTCTCAAGGTAGATCACAACTTGGGCTAGGGGATGCCATAAAAAAAAAAATACAGAGATGTTATGAGTGCCATCAATTAAGAAAGTTTGGAAACCCCTGTTGTACTGTATTGATTTTTTTATTGCTTCATTCAGTATATGTTATGATACTTATGATTACTTTGGCTGGCAACTGCATTTAAAAATAATTATGCAAATATTTTCAATATTTCCCTGGGCTACTTGTACTGTATAAAATAATTTAGAATCTGTTCATCATGGCTGTGAGTTTTGGGAACTGTAGTCTCAAGGTATTGGGAGGGAATCAGATTGGAAAAAGTGGGATTGGCCTACATTTCCTGATGTTTGTACAACATGATACTATTTAATCAATTTTCATAACTGTGTTATGAAATGGTGTTAACATAAACCATTATATATTTTGTAATATACAATATTTACTTAGGAGTAAGTTACCCTGAATCTGCTGAGACCTACTTATGAGTAAACATGTTCTGTTTTTAGGTCTTGTTCCTATCTTGATATTGTCATTTACAAATGTAAAATGTTTAGAAATGGTAGCTTTACTTATGTTTTGAAGAAGTTCTTCAAAGTGACTTTTCTTTGATGTAACAGAATAACAGAATTAGAAGGGATCTTGGAGGTCTTTTATTCCAACTCTGCTTAAGCAGGGAGATGCTATACCATTTCAGAAAAGTGGCTGTTCAATCTCTTCTTTAAAAACTCTTATTTCAATCAATTATGTAGTATGTGCTTTGTTAAAAGAAGAACTAATTGTGACATACAGGTTATAGTACCTAGGTTTGAAAATAAAGTATGGTAGAAGAGATTTATTTTAGTAATTGTTTTAAATTTATTGTCTTATTTTTTTAAAATAATGACAAAAATTGAAATTTATTTTTTTCAGTAAATTTAAGTATTGGGACAATTGTTGCAGCTTTAGTTAGTTTCTTCTTGTCCCCAATTGCTCGTCATTGTGTCAACATAAGAAGTTGCACAGTTATTTCTATCTTTAAACAATATTAAATAGTCTAGAAATATCTATAGCTTTAAACAGCAATCATAATTATTATGATTAATCTTAAAATTAAAAGATGTAAAGTACAAAAATGAACATTTTGAGATTCTTGTTTAATGATAGAAGCACTGTTACAATTTCATATATGTTCATTTTCAAAACTGCTGTCATTAGCAACCATGAGTCTGTGTATTTTCTTTTTCATGCTATCTTCAGTTTCACAATTTTTATCAGATTATTGCCTTTATTTGATTATTAGGTGCCTAAAATTGCCTCTTGGCTAAATGGGCAACATATAAATTTTATAAAATAAATCAATAAGTACTGGTTTTAAAAAAGGATCTAAATATGAATGGCGGGACCTAGGGTTGGGGAGAAAATAATAATGGTTTCTCCTAGTCCTTCTGGCTGCTTGTACTGTATTTTAAGGTAAAGGAGAAAATGAGCAAAAATAGTCTTAGTTCCTTGGTTTCTGTTTCACTTGGTAATGAAATCTTAAAATCCAAAATATTTGGATGCTACCAAAAATAAGTTCTAAACTTATATGACATCTTGCTCTATGTTTTCAGATATGTAGATCTAATAAAAATGAAATTTTTGATTTATGTTGTGCGACTTTATAAAGCTTAATGAAAAGAAGCATTCAGGTAGATTGATTTGTGTTGCTATTTTAATTTTTATCTAGAAAACCAGATTTGACAGATTCTGCCTCTCTGCTAGAAACATTTAAATTCCTTGAAAATGCTGCTGCAGAATTTAGCGATGAAGAGGAAGATGATGATATTGATGGAAGAGAGCGAACAATCATGGATACATCAACGGTGGGCTGAAAACAAATTAGTATAATAAAGATTGAACCAAAAGGGCAGTTGATCATTCAAAACACACATATTAAAAACCTTAATTGTAAAACACTTGGAAACTGATCAGTGAAAACGCTTGCATATAGCAGTCCAAATATCCCTTCAATAATTTACTTTTTAATCTAAAAAGGTTGTTTAATGAGTGTTCAGGGGATAGACATGCACAGAAACCTCCCAAGAGGGGGGAAAAAAAATCTATGCAGTTATATTGAATTTTATATGAGAGTTAGAAGACTATCTGGTTTTATAAATTTTGAAGTCTACATTTATATTAGGGGTTCCAACAAAAGAATTCTTTTTAAGAGTCTGTTTTGTGTACTGACACAAAATAGTTGTTAAGAGAGGCTTAACTGTTCGCTAAATCTGAATGAGATGACCGGTCTCCAAGTTTGATAAATAAATGGATATTTAGTAAAATGGCCAGTTAGAAGAAACACTAGTGAGTTTATTCTTCACCAACTACCCAAGATCCTAGGATGATCATGGCAATTCTTAGATGATCTTTGTCTTTGTTCTAGGCAATTGGACTTATTTCCAAATATAGGTAGGAATTTTGGTTAGCTGTTCTTTATATTTTATAAGAATGCCTTTGGCACCTATAAGTTTTCTAATGAAGAGAAATTATGTTAGAGGTTGGCAATTTGTTTTGCCATTCTAGATAACTCATCTGATGGGTATTATGGAAATTACTTTTGAGCTCATTGATGTCCACAGATTTATATGACACAAATACAGATTATAATATTGAAGAACCTATTCAAAGCATGGTATAAGGTTACCACCTTTAAAGGTTACCACCTTTAAAGCGCTCCATGGCTCAGGACCTGGGTACTTGCGGGACTGCCTACTACCACCAATAGCCTCCCACTGACCGGTACGCTCCCATAGAGAGGGGCTCCTCCGGGTGCCGTCGGCCAAACAATGCCGACTGGCAGCCCCCAGGGGGAGAGCCTTCTCTGTGGGGGCACCTACTATCTGGAACGAGCTCCCCCCGGAGATACGGAGGATCCCGGATCTGCGCACCTTCCGCCGCGCTTTAAAGACCTTATTATTTCACCAGGCGCGCCTGGCCTAATCTTCTCCCTCTTTTATAAAAGATTTTTAATTTTTAAATATCTTTAGTATTTTATATATTCAATTTTAAAATTGGTTTTAAATAGTTTGGGGTTTTAATTTGTCTGGGCCAAAATTATTTAATTTGATTTTAATTCTACTTTTAAATTTTGTATGTATGTGTTTTACTGTTTAGCTGTGCACCGCCTTGAGTCCTTCGGGAGTAGGGCGGTATAGAAATCAAATAAAATGAAATGAAAAAAAATGAAATAAACGATAGATCAAGTATTGTCTAATTAATTTATATTTTACTAGCTGGTACCAAAATACATTATCTTTCTGCTTATATGTAAGATTATGTGTCTAAAGGGTACATAATCATAAGATAGTTATAAAGGGTACATAAACTTAAGAAAAACAGCCCATAATGAGAGAGAAAAATTGTCTCCCATAGATTATGAGAAAAAGAGTTCTGCCTGAAAATAATGAAGACAGAGATACCGAAGAGGCCCTGAAGGAATTTGATTTCCTAGCCACATCTGATGAAGGAGATGGGGAATCCAGAAGTTCAGGAGACGGTACAGACTGGGGTAAGAAAAGAAAGAAAATTGCCTAAATGCAGTCATTTACCTGGATCTGGAGAAGGATCGTGGGGGAAATGTTAATTCTGGAGAGTAAACTTTTGAGCTGTTTCTTAATTTTACAGAATATCTAAAAATATTGAAGTGATTATTTCCTATTTTTTATAGTTTGAATTCATTGCAGTCTGTATGGCAATTGCCAATGGGGTTTATGCAAGCAAAACAAGTAAACAAAGTCCAGGCAAGTTTTAACAGTCCTTTCACTTTGCCTTTTCAAGTTTAAACTTCCCCTTTAAGTTGATCATTTCCAGAAGGGGGTGTCCAAACCCATAGTTTTAGACCCCTAGACTAGCCCTAAATCTATTCATCTTATTAGACAAGTATATTGGCAAATCCTGCTTTTTCTCAGGTTTAAAGCCTTTGCAGTAGAGTCCGTTTCTTAATTTCATGTAGATAGTTTTGAGTGAAGAAATCGAGAAAATTAATTTTGAAGATTAGCCTGTGTAAGAGCAAAGGAATCAGATGAGATTATGACTTTAAAACTGAACATGTCAGACACCCTGCCTAAAGTCAGTTTTGTGAAGTCTTCCTGTTTATTTTCCTTTCCCTTGTTGATAGAGAGCTCTGAATTCTTCTGTGTTTTGCTTAATAGTACTTTAAGCAGATCTATATTACAATTGTGCTAGGTTGTATTAAACTGTATAATTCCCTAAAATTGGTTCTTAATTCTGGTTTTGGTGGTTGGGAGGTTACTGTGCAACGTTCAGTGCTGATTTGAGCTTAGAACATTTCTGGAGTGGTGAATTGTTCAAATTTGGTTCCCCAGTGATCATAAGTTAAGAATCTATACCATAATTTCAGATCCCAACAATATCCACCAGCAGGCAGAAAAGGAAATCCAATGCATGTTCCAGGAAAGTATAATCGAGACTTTTGATTGTGAATGGTCAATCTCCTTCTTGCTCATAGATATCTGCTTATTGTGGAATTTGTTGCCTATTTACTTCTCCAAACTGAGTTTTTTTGGCAACTGAAAAATCTGACAAAGGTCCATTATATCACCACCCTTGATTTAACCAACACTACTTGCATGGGAGTGATAATAAAAACATAGCAATCATGTTAACCCAGATTCAGGTTTAAGTGTGTTTTGTGAACCCAATCTTTAATGTACATTATCTTGATACAAGATCTCCTCTACAATATTTTGTGCTTTTCTTTTTGCTCTTTCAGGGGAGAAAATTTGAAATGGAATTTTTAAAAAATGTGGCTACCCTATTAATATCTAGTGTTCATCATTACTAACCCATTTGCTGCAGATTTTATAGCCCTCCAAGTACCGGCCTTTTCTTTGGCATACTTCTCCATTGTATCCTTCATACATATAATAGGAATTGACCATTTTCTTGAAGTTGCTATATAGACATGCTTGGTTAATTCTTGTAGTTTCTCTTACGCTGTTATATAGAAAGCTACTTCTGTTTATCTATCTACCTTGTCCCTTCCTAATCCTCACCTTTTACTATTTTTCTGCATTTGGATTTGTTGCCATCACCTTGGTAAATTTCCCATATGCCATCTATGGTTTTTATTCCCCAGTGTGTCATTTAAGTACCTATAGTTTAAAGGTGTGGCTAACAGAACCATTACACAATACTTTCTTTAAGGTAAATCTCACTGAATCTGCTTTGACTGACTATTAGGTAAGATTGCAATGGACAAATTAGAGAGAAATATATAACTATCCAATGAAAGAGTTCTTATATGTATGGGTTAATGGAGCACCTTCTTTTCATACAACAGTTTCCTTTTAAAACATTAGAATGAGTTTATTTTTCAAGAGGTTGCTTTTCATATCTCTATGTGATGTACAAAGATGAAAATGAGTTAAGAACACAAATCAAGAGTACCACGTCCCTCATCTCCTATCCTTCCCCAATTTATGTGGAGGTTTGGCAATTTCCTTCTTACTCAGATTCTCCCCAAAACTGTCACTGGGAAGTAAACCATACATAGTATCTGGCCAATGTAGTAGCGGTACTGTTCACCAAATATACCTAATCAGCTTGTTGGTTTTAGGAATATAGAACACCTTAAATCTGTATCATTTTCTTATTAGAAAATCCTTCACACTAGGAGTAAAAATTGCTGTAATTCACCTCAATCTGGTTTCCTTGTTACTATGTCAAGCTTGTATAAGCAGGTCAAATGTCACAAAATAGCCAAAAATCCCTACTGAAGTTGAAAAACAGTTTCAAGAAACTTGCTTTACAGGTAGCCTTCACTAGGGATTGCCTCAAATAGCAACTGTTCACAGTTATGACAATGATTAAAAAGTAACATTGCTACAATGTTAAAAATTAACATTGTGACCAATACTTACATTTACAATCTTCACAACTCTGTAAAACAAAGGAAAACTGAAGTAAGATTGTAAGCACTATTGTGGTCACATTTCCCATGTAGTGATGACTTCACTTAATAACCAAGTTGCTAGACCTATTCTGGTCACTAAGTGAGGATTGCCTGTATCCCTTGAGATTATTAAATATGTTTGCAGAAACATATTTTAGCAAATCTCCAGGCCTTGTGGCTTTAGTTCAAGTATTCAAATGTATTTCTTACCACTATGTAATACAGTTCTTAGTTAAAGTTCTTTCGGGCAATTCATTTTAGCAATGTAACTGTTCAAAGAAATTACTATTACATATAACCTGAAGCTTAGGTATACCATATACCGTGGAAAGATATAATGCAATAATTTTACCTTGGACTATAAATAAATAAATAGAAAAATTGGAAGGAAAAATCCTCTCTAGGACTCATTAATGTATAATTGAGAGCAATTTCAGAAAGTAGTTGTGTGGCATGTTTCTTGTGTTGTATCTTACAAAATGTAAATTAAATATGAAATATATTTCTTAATTGCATACAAGAAAAAAATGCTTAGATTTTCTGTTAATATTGTTGATGCAACCGTGCACCTTTTTTTCCACTTTAAATTTTAGCTTTCTTTTGAGAAGACTTGTACAGTAGAAGAACTTAAAATACATGCTTGAAATTATTACACTTGAAATATTTTCTATTCTGACCAGAATAAAAATTAGCACCAACTACAGATCTTTTGTTCTAAAAATGTTTTAAGAATAATGTGGATTAAATCAAATATGATATTATATCTGTAATTCTTAGAAACAGAAGAGATGGTTAGAGATTAGGTTTGAGTTAGAACACTTTCTTGGTGAACAAGATTGAATATGAGAAGAAAAATACAAGAGCATCACATTTAATTTAACCTTTAGTGGCAGCATATTATGTGCCAGTTGCCCTGTTCCTGAATTGTGAGGCCCTACTCATGGTCACTCATGCCTTGGTTGCTTTCTGATTGAACTGCTGGAATGTGCTCTACATGTGGCTATACCTTAGGAGAATTTGGAAACTTCTGCTGGTGCCAAATGTATGGGCAACTATGGATGCCTGTTATTCAAAATATGTGAAGCCTCTAGTCTGTGAGCTGCATTGGTTGCCAGCATGCTTCCAGATTTAAATTGAAGGTACTGGTAGATACCTTTAAAGTCCTTCATGGCTTGAGGCCAGTGGTCGCTTGTAAGGTCATTTCTTCTTGATGGTATCAACCCACTCAGTAAGAACTGGCAGGACAAGCATGCTCCAGGTTCTGCCTGTAATGGAGTGTCATCTGAGGGGATCCAAGAAGAGAGTCTTTATGTTGTGGTGCCTGCCCTCTGGAACATCATTCCCCTCAAGCTCAGGTTCATCCTCTCTGCTGACCTTTCGTAAAGCCTTAAAACTTGGTTTTGTCATTGAGCCTAGGGCTCTGGATGTGTAGCTGAGCCTGTATCACAATTATGTTAATTGTTTTATTGTTTTTCTCATGAACTGCTATTCATGTTGTTTATAATGTTATTATACACTTTTAGAATATTAATTTGTACCGTTAACCATGCAGAGCCATGTATGTGAGATGAGCAGCCACATAAATTGAGTGGATAAATACAACATCATTGGTGTCAAAATTTCACTGATCACCAGCTGCTGCCAATACTCCAAAAATAAAGCATTTTTAAGAAACCAAATAACACAAAAAGGATGTTTCATTTGTTTTAATTTGTCTAGAAAAGGAAGACCAGTGTCTCATGCCTGAAGCCTGGAATGTGGACCAGGGAGTAATAACCAAACTGAAGGAACAATACAAAAAGGAGCGCAAGGGGAAAAAGGGGGTGAAGAGTAAGTGGAAAACATTGCACCATAGATTCACAAATCCTGCCTCTTTCACTTCACCAGTGCTATCTTTATTTCAATGTTTTCCTCAAACTACTTACTCTTTTTCTTTGCTGCTCCTGACTGCTTTCCAGTTTACAGTTACCAGGGGTGGAAATTAATGCTACTTAAACTCTAAATGTGTTGGTAATACTAATATTGTGTACATTGACAAAATAATGTACAAAATATGTTGAAGAGGATTTTCGACAACTCTAAAACATGTCTTGCTAAGTTTTGTCCAAACCAGGCAATATTTATGTGAGAGAACTTTTTGTAGTATAAATAGCATCGTGTCATCTCTCCTCTGCATTTCTGGGATTTTGAAGTCAAACATAATACTGCAATAAGTGGGAATTAAACTTTTCTCTCTGTATATTACCTGATTTATATTTGCTTATGACTAAGTCCCAAAGAGCCATTCCGTGTTTCTGTATGTTACAGATGACTTGGATTTCCCATTTTTCTGTAGAGCAGTTTTTATTACACAGATTGTTGATTAACCTGAAGGCAGCCTTTTGACTTTCAGTGCAGATTTTTTTCCACAGATATATTGTCTTTATGATAGCCTAGGGGTAATTCTCTTTACATAAAGTCAATAAGTTTAATGGATGTTATAAAAAGGCATTTCTTGCTTTCCCTGTTTTTCTTGCCTTTTGTGCATACTAGTATTTTAAGTATGTATACATAGTTGGGTGTAGAGTGTCTGAATTTAATGGCATGTTTCAAAACAGAAACTTCTATAGTGCTGGGAATATTGCAGTAAAAAAAGGAACGATAATGAAGAAGATAATGAACTTAGTAAATAAATAATAAAATCAGTATATAAAGAATTAGAGTAGAGAATTTTGGTCTGGACATATCCTTAACAAGAATGAAAGTTAATAAATTAATTTCTACCCTTGTTTATATTTTAATGTTTGCTTCATGTAGGTCATGCTGTTCTCATAACTTGAATGCAGGGCTCGGAATGGAAAAATATTTATTAAAATTAGTGTTGATATAATAACTGAATTAAGTTCAGTTTGTTTATATATATAAACCAGACAAACAATTGGATCAGTTTTCAAAATTTAATTTCTAGCCCTGTGTATCATTATGTTTTTCATTTTTCAAAATATAAATCATGCAGACATTTTTCAAATATACAAGTCATAAATTTAAATTCTATATACAGATATTGTATTTGTAAATAAATATAGAATAATACAAAAGCTTACATAATAATTGAAGGGTATTGAGGTTGACATTTACCAGATGGTTAATTTAAATTATTGAGATGTTTGCAATACTGATTTAATGAATTAGCTTATTGCCAATTGTTAGGTACATTATTTTGTACTAATTGCTAATTTTTAGCATTTTTTTCTAAAGTGGTTTGTAGTGTTCACTCTCTTACTATCATGGAATTAAAAAGAATAGCTAATATATTAATTGGATTACTGTCAATATGAGGCAGTGCAAAAATATTTGGTGTTAAAAATAACATAAATATAATGGCAAAAGGCACACCGGACACTGGAATTTGATGAAAAATATTTGTAGTATGCTGTGCATACTTGTTCATATCCACAAACCAATGAATAAGATGATTTATGAAGGATGAATGAAGTCTCTCAGTTATGATGAATAGCAAGTTGCATATATTTTCCTCAGAAGTCATTGGGAGGCATTTGTTAAAAGGAGAAACATACAGTCAGGTCCAGAAATATTGGGACATCGACACAATTCTAACATCTTTGGTTCTATACACCACCACAATGGAGTTGGAATGAAACAAACACAATGTGCGTTAACTGCAGACTGTCAGCTTTAATTTGAGGGTATGTACATCCAACTCAGGTGAACGGTGTAGGACTTACAGCAGTTTGCATATGTGCCTCCCACTTGTTAAGGGACCAAAAGTAATGGGACAGAATAATAATCATAAATCAAACTTTCCCTTCTTAATATTTGGTTGCAAATCCTTTGCAGTCAATCACAGCCTGAAGTCTGGAACACATAGACATCACCAGACGCTGGGTTTCATCCCTGGTGATGCTCTGCCAGGCCTCTACTGCAACTGTCTTCAGTTTCTGCTTGTTCTTGGGGCATTTTCCCTTCAGTTTTGTCTTCAGCAAGTGAAATGCATGCTCAATGGGATTCAGGTCAGGTGATTGACTTGGCCATTGCATAACATTCCACTTCTGTCCCTTCAAAAACTCTGGTTGCTTTTGCAGTATGCTTTGGGTCATTGTCCATATGCACTGTGAAACGCCGTCCAATGAGTTCTGCAGCATTTGGCTGAATGTGAGCAGATAATATTGCCCGAAACACTTCAGAATTCATCCTGCTGCTTTTGTCAGCATTCACATCATCAATAAATACAAGAGAACCAGTTCCATTGGCAGCCATACATGCCCACACCATGACACTACCACCATCATGCTTCACTGATGAGGTGGTATGCTTAGGATCATGAGCAATTCCTTTCCTTCTCCATACTCTTCTCTTCCCATCACTCTGGTACAAGTTGATCTTGGTCTCATCTGTCCATAGGATCTTGTTCCAGAACTGTGAAGGCTTTGTTAGATGTTGTTTGGCAAACTCTAATCTGGCCTTCCTGTTTTTGAGGCTCACCAATGGTTTACATCTTGTGGTGAACCCTCTGTATTCACTCTGGTGAAGTCTTCTCTTGATTGTTGACTTTGACACACATACACCTACCTCCTGGAGAGTGTTCTTGATCTGGCCAACTGTTGTGAAGGGTGTTTTCTTCACCAGGGAAAGAATTCTTTGGTCATCCATCACACTTGTTTTCCGTGGTCTCCCAGGTCTTTTGGTGTTGCTGAGCTCACTGGTGCATTCCTTCTTTTTGAGAATGTTTCAAACAGTTGTTTTGGCCACGCCTAATGTTCTTGCTATCTCTCTGATGGGTTTGTTTTGTTTCTTCAGCCTAATGATGGCTTGCTTCACTGATAGTGACAGCTCTTTGGATCTCATCTTGAGAGTTGACAGCAACAGATTCCAAATTCAAATAGCACACTTGAAATGAATTCTGGGCCTTTTATCTGCACATTGTAATTGGGGTAATGAGGGAATATCACACACCTGGCCATGGAACAGCTGAGAAGCCAATTGTCCCATTACTTTTGGTCCCTTAACAAGTGGGAGGCACATATACAAACTGCTGTAAGTCCTACACCGTTCATCTGAGTTGGATGTACATACCCTCAAATTAAAGCTGACAGTCTGCAGTTAACGCACATTGTGTTTGTTTCATTCCAACTCCATTGTGGTGGTGTATAGAGCCAAAGATGTTAGAATTGTGTCGATGTCCCAATATTTATGGACTTGACTGTATATCTCATGGTGTCTTTTGAGAGAACATGCTCATCACCTACTCAATTCCTTGTATTCCTCCACTTTAATTTAATGGGAAAGATAAATAAGGCCTGTTCTCTAATTTGAGATTGCACATAACTAACTTGTAGCATCTGACGCAGTCCTACACCTACCATGTCATTCTGTCAAAACATTGTATACACAACATTATTAGTAGAAATTGGAAGTCTGCCCAACTTCTCAAACTTTCATTTTTGATTTAAGTATGGAGGCTTAAAGCAACTGAGCTGCTCTGAGCCAATCAACTTAAAATCTAAGCAGTACCTACTTTAAAATGTGTGGTCAGTTCTTATTCCATTATTAGCTAAGTTAAAATTGTTTTCTAGCTCCCTTCATAATAGATTTTGGAACTTTTGCCACTTTGAGTCTATCTGTTCTTGTACAGTATTCCATAATTTGGGAATCGGATGACTACTTCAGCTTCAACCGCAATAATACACGAGCACACAATAGATACAAACTTAAGGTAAACCGCTCCAAACTCGATTGCAGAAAATATGATTTCAGCAACAAGAGTGGTCAATGCCTGGAATGCACTACCTGACTTTGTGGTTACCTCCCCAAACACCCATAACTTTAACTTTAGACTGTCTACTGTTGACCACACCCCATTCCTAAGCGGTCTGTAAGGGACGTGCATAAGTGCACCAATATGCCTACCGTCCCTGTCCTGTCCCCATTTATTCGTATCCATATCCTGTATTCATAATCATGTTTATCCCTATATTCTTTACCTTATACATGTTTGACAAACAAACAAATAAATAAAGTAATGTGAATTGAAAATACACACAATACGAGTATCAGGCTTTTAAATACCATATTTCAAGTAGCATAGACTGCCAGAGTTCCATCAGTTTTCAAATATAACATGGCTTAGTTAATTCATCATGCTGATAGTTAACATATATTGTAGCTTCCTAAAAGTTTAATTTTCAAGATTAATTTCCAATACTGGAAGGCAGCACCTGCAACTTACATTTCTTTTCCCATCCTTATTTTTGTGAAAACTCTCTCGTCAGAGTTTTGGAGAACACTTCTTGAGCAGTGTGAGTTATATCCCTTAGAAATGCAGGATAGGCCTCTTAGTTGACAAAATGACTTTCCAAATACATAAACATGCTCTTTATACTGGCTTCTGCTATTCAGTCATAGATGCAGATATCTAGTTTTATGCTCTGTCACCTCACCAGTATTACAGCCTCTGTCACCTAGCAGATGAATCATGTTAAGCTTGATAAATAGGAAGCTATTTTGCAGGTTTTATTGTTTGGCACACTTGACAAAAAGATTGGGCGTGTAAATTAATATGCAAATTAATAATATGTAGTCCATATGTGAGGTGAAGAGTTGGGGGGAATTTGACTAGAAATTATTTGGTAAACTATGTGGAACCCAATCATTTATGAAACTCACAGCATCTCTCTTTTGAAACCTCAGAGGTAACGATGGGCAAAATTGATCGCTCCTTCCATCTCCTCCAAACAAAATTTGTCTGATAAAAAAGATGTGAAGTCAAATAGCTTTTTGCCATTACAGAAATTGTACAGCATCTGTTCAGGATAAAAGGTTACTGAAAAGGAAATTAATTTTTTATAAGCTATATTAACTTAAAACTAATAAAGTTCTTTTATCAGACCAATGAAAATTTAAATGTAGAAATCTGAGTTGGAGGGACCTGAGCGTTCAAGTATAAAACTAGATCTAATTTTGATCTGGCCAATGATAATTGTCAAATTTTATATACTATGTATTTGCAGTTTTTAAACTTGAATTAAATTTATGTACAGTCAAAGCAAATATTCATAGTGCTATTACCATTTAAGAGTTTCATCAATAATAATGGGTCAAATAACTGGTTTGAGAATATTTCTAAGATTGGTAAGGCTATTGTAGCAAGGACTTGTGAGCAACATTACATTCAGATTTGTGTTGGAATGCTTTTAGCTACTAACAATAGCTGTATTTACTAGAATAGGAAAAACAGTTATGGACTGTGGGTAAGATATTTTCCCATTCTTAATTAAACTTACAACAGGAAAAACTACCGAAGATATGTTTCAGCCTCAGTCCTTTATAAAACAATCAAAACAGGGATGTGGGAAAATGATGGAGCAAAACACAGGTAAGTGTTGAGAAAGGCATGGGGTCTTCACCACATGTAGTTTGAGGAAGAGCAAAAACAGTTATCCTTGCTTGATTTTGTTTGGTTTTTTTCCCCTCTTTTTTTTTTTTAAAAGCAAATCACTTTTTTTAAAGATTGTGGCACAACTGATAAAGCTGCAGCCCTACCCATTTGGGGAAATTTTCAAAACTTGTGCAAAAAAATATAATTCACAAGTATTTTAATATTCAGAAAACTTTGTGTTTTATCATTTGCTTTCACTTGGTTTTATTTTACATTTTGCAAGTTCATAAAGTGAATAAAAGTGTGAATGTACGTATGCACACCTTTGTTTTCATTATTATCTCTTCTCAGCACCTCATTCCATGCTTTTAACTTAGTTGTTGATGAAGCTAGTCCTCTCTATTTGAATCACATTCATGTTTTTCTTTGCTCAAGGTAGCACCCATTGCCGTTAGTGCCGGAACAACTTTGACAGTGTTAATGCTAATCCAACCTTTGCACTTTTTTTGGCCAGGACCCAACAGGTCAAAACTGCAAGATATGCTTGCTAATTTGAGAGATGTTGACGATCTCCCTGCATTACAGCCTTCTGTTGTGCCACCCACGCGACCCAGTACTTCGCGGCTTATTGAGCAAGAGATAAATCGAACAGATGAAGGTAAGAAGTATGGGGATACAGTAGACATAAAATATAGGTGTAGGCTTAGATTAGGTTTAACTTCTAAAACAGTCTTAATATTTGTAAGTATTAACATTTTATCTTAGTAAAACTATTGTTTTAAAAATTAATGTTGTATTAAGTAATAAAAGTTGTTTTAAGTAGCCTTAGTATAAGCCTGCAATTTTTATTTATTAAAGTAAATAGAATAAATAAATATATGCTTGAGCCCCCCCCCATTTTAATGTATCTCAGTATTAACTAATACTCAAAAGATTAATTTTAGCTAATTAAATCAATTTTTTAAAATCTAACCAAGTAATTCATCAAAATTTACAACCTAGGTTTATAAAAACTTTAATATCATTGATAGTACTTTTAAAAGTGGACTGCCATTTGTCAGAAATGATGTAGGGTGACCTGCTTGGGCAGGGGGGTTGGATGAGATGACCTATAGTACAAGGTCCCTCCCAACTCCAACTCTATTTAATTTTATTTATTTGGTTCGATTTATATGCCGCCCTTCTCCGGAGACTCAGGGCGGCTTACAATGCATTAAGCAATAGCCTTCATACTTTTGTATATACCTGCTTAGTAGGGCTTTCCCCCCCCCCACAAATGGTGTTCTTTTTTATACAAAGTCAGCTTATTGCCCCCACAAACCGGGTCCTCATTTTACCTACCTCGAAAGGATGGAAGGCTGAGTCAACCTTGAGCCTGGTGAGATTTGAACTCGCAATAATTGCAGGCAGCTGGTATTACTTAACAGTGCTTTAGTCTGCTGCGCCACCAAGACTCAACTCTGTTAAGTATTTTCTGTCTACCTTACATGATTAATTTTGAGAAGGGAACTCACAACATAGTTGTTCCGTAGTAAAATGGTCCTGTGACAGCTCTGTATCTAATATAGACAGACACCTATTGCATCCTTTAAAAAAATATTTTTCTAGCAGTTCTTGGTAATTGGTGATGTCAGTTGTTAAATTAGTCCTGAGTTCAGTGAAACTAGAATTGATACTAGGTTTTTTAATGTTTATGGTTTTATAAGTTAAATATTAATTATTGATTGGGGCCCGTCCAATGTTTGATATAAGATGGGTGGCTATATAACTATTTTAAATAAAATAAAGCTGGATTTTCAAAAACAAGTCATTAATTTGGTAGCACTTTATATCCCATTTTTCAATTTAACAGACATTACCAAAATGGCTTTTAAATTTAAACTGGACAGATGTTATGGAAACCTACAAACAAATGGAAAGCTACAAAAAAAGGATTAAACAGGAATTTTGTAAATATTTTGAAGCAGCAGTAGAAACATATTGATAATATTATGCTAAAACTCATCAGACTAAGAATTAAAAGATAGTGTAAAAATAATGCAAGCTAGTAAACCTTGGTCATTTTGGTGTCCTCTATTAATCTAAAAATCTATGGTTACTAGACTAAAATAATGAATTAGGCAAAGTTGAGCAATTCCATAATTTGAATAAAAAGATTTGCATAGACTTATGTAGGATTCTTGAAATGTTTTTGCTAATGAGAGCTGCTTATAATTTATGAAAAATATTCTGAGGCGCTAGAAAAATACTGAACATAAATGGCTTGATAAGAATTATTAAAACAAAAATCTCCAATACTAGATTTATTAGACATCAATATATCATTAAAAATCTTTCTGGGCCAATATTAACTGTGATAAAATTAAGAAAATGAGAAATTAAGAAAATTATGGAATGAAGTGTATCTTGCCAGTTAATCTTGTGGTAATGTACATGAAAGAATCAAATAAAAGAAAAGGCATAGAGGTGTAGTTCAAAGTGCTGGTGACTGTAGTTTGAGCAGGATGGTTATTCCCTTGTGTTCCAGAGTTCTAAGCCTGACAGAGATCACTGGTTTGCAGTCTCTTCAGCAGGAACAACTGTAGGGAGCACTTGTGCATGATCTCAATCCTTTCCTTCTCTGGAGAGGAATTACAAAAACATGGTCTGCTCACCAGCTCTTTATTTCACTGTGGTCTTGTAGCAGAGCTGTCTTCAGTTTGCCATTTCTTCCTCAGAAGTCCCCCTTTTTTTGTTTTTGAAATGGTATTAGTAATTGAAGTTGTCTTCATGCAGTGCGTTACATGTTGTGGATTCATGTGTGTTCTATCTTTCAGTAGAAGCTTTAACATTCCCTCCTTCTTCTGGGAAATCTTTCATTATGGGAGCAGATGAGGCCCTTGAGAGTGAGCTTGGCCTTGGGGAATTGGCAGGCCTTACAGTAGCCAATGAAGCAGATTCACTGACATATGATGTAAGTGCTAATCTCTTAATATTACACTTATTTTGGTTTTGAATAGTGGTAAAATCTTTAATGACACCGAGAAGCTTTTAATTAGAAAAGAAGAATGGTTGCACCCTTTCCAAATGTTATTAAAAGGTATATTTCTTGAGCTGCAACTCAATTCATCAGATGAATAAATGACTAGACCAGCATAGTTTTTAAATTAAGGTGAGACAGATAGGGGAAAAATAGATTGCTTATGCAGATATAGGTTGCATGTGAGACAGATTACAAATGGTTAACCGTACTCAGGTGTTAAAAACCCATTGTGTTTGTTGAGACCTGCTGAAATCGCCTGCAAACTCAATGGTGATAATAAATTCTGATTTTCCAAAACATTTATTGTAAGGTCTGCCATAGTGTGAGAATTCCGTACGTGAATTTAAAACTAAGAAATGGCTGTCAAGGAAGAGTCAATGAAAAGATGAGAATTAGATAGAGAGAAAACATTTCTTTGCAGGTTATATCCAATGCTGTTTTGTAGATTACAGTATACATTTCTGATTGGCTATTGAAATTTGTTTAATGTATTACTTTAATACAGAGATTCATACCTGATTTGAAAAAACAGTAACATTTTAACTTCAAACATTTTGCTAGTCTTTACTGAGATTTGATAACATTATAATGAAGTACATCCTCTGTCAAGTGATTAATATAATTTGCATTAGTATATTCTGATTGGCTTGCCTAGTTTTTGTTCTTGTTACAATAGATAGCAAACAATAAAGATGCTCTGAGGAAGACTTGGAATCCCAAGTTTACTTTAAGGAGCCATTTTGATGGAATAAGGAGCCTGGCTTTCCATCCAATTGAACCAGTGTTAATTACTGCTTCAGAAGACCATACATTAAAAATGTGGAATTTGCAAAAAACGTCTCCAGCAAAAAAGTAAGTTGATGGTTGAAATAGATACAGTCCTGTAGGGCAGTGATGGCTAACCTTTTCCGGACCGAGTGCCCAAAGCGCGCTGATGTAATTACTATTACTATTTGAGAAAGAGGATAGAATAGTACTATTTTACAGTTTCTCTTGCAGCCATCTTTGTAGTGGTTGTATCATATACATTTAAATAAGTGTACAATCAAGCTCATTTGGGCAAAAAATCCTAGGTTCATTTATATACTGATGGGGTCTAACCATGACTAACCAGAAATAAAAAATCTGGGCCTAGAGAAGACATTAATTTGGCATTGCAGCAAAAGTGAAGAATGCAGATTCCATGCTATGCAAATCACTAGGAGAAGAACTGAAAATAAAAATGCCAACATCATAACTTTATGGTATGTCTGCATATGAAGCACTGTACACAGTCCTGGTTCTTGCATTTATAAAAGCATATAATAGAACTAAAAAAAGTTCAGAAGAGGAAAACTAAAATGAAGATGCTCAAATGCCTTCTCTATGAGAAAAGTCTCAAATATTTGGGACCATAGCCTGGAGAAAGGGCAACCAATTGGAGGCATGATCAAGATGTATAAATCATGCATGACATGTAAAAGTGGACACATAGATAGTTTTATCTCTTGGTGAAAGTCAGGGCCATCCAATGAAAATGTAAATCTAAAACCATTCCAGGCAGCACATTTTTAACTTGAGGAATTATTACTTCATAAAATGATGATAGCCATTAACTTGAGTGGCTTTAAAAAGGAAATGGATGAACTCATGGAGAACAGTATCTTAAGGGTTACTGTTCTTGAAAACTCATTATATCTGCCAACAGCACAAAATTGTGGGGGAGGAGCATCTCTCTGTCTCTTGCTTGCAAACACTCCAGTTGCATCAGGTTGGTTATTGTGAGACACAAAATGCCAAGCTAAGAGGATTATTGACCTGATTTTGCAAGGTGGTTCTTGCAATAACTTAAATAATAACTTCCTTATTATTTTTATTTAGGAGCACCTCACTTGATGTTGAACCTATCTATACTTTCAGGGCACATAAGTAAGTAAATGTGGACAAAAAGATAGAATGTAATTTGGTTGCTGCAGATGTAACACTGCAGCTTCTCTTAAAAGAGAACTGAGGGATTATGTAAAACATGAAATAGTGGTGAGCATTTGCTTCATTTTGTGGTTGAAGCTGAACTCACCACACATTGAATGTTTCTAAACATATCTTGTATGCTTGTGGTAACTAAGAAACTCTTACAGTTGACTGGTGGTACAGTTGGCTGAATGATTGCATTGGTTTCTCTTGCTGCTATTGCTGTTGTATCTGTGGACTATGCAGAATACAGAGGTAATTCTTAGGAGGTCTTAAAGCTTTCTCCCACAACTGATAGACAAATAGATTTGGGGAGCATACTTAGGAGATTTATTTGTGTTTAGTGTGATGTGCTGTACACTAGCTCTTTATTTCCAAGACAAAAAAAAATACCTGGACATCTATGATTTCTACTGTAAATTAGAGTCATTAGTGTTAGATGACAATCTGTTGTTAGGGGGAAAAAATCACTAACCAGTGCTGTCATAACATGCTTTCTCTTACAGCAGTCCAGTGCTTTGCGTAGTTATGAGTAACAATGGTGAGCAGTGTTACAGTGGAGGCACTGATGGCCTCATCCAGAGTTGGAATACTACAAATCCAAATATTGATCCTTATGATTCATATGGTTAGTGATTCTTCTTTTGTTGCCTTTTATTTTTGGATGTTTTGCAAACATATTCCATGCACTAGATTTCAACATGAAATCAAGAAAAAGTACTCTATTTTATATATAGTGCCCTCCCCCCCCCCCCACACACAGAGTATAGCAGTAGTTTAATAATAATATATTAATTTATTAATCTTACGTATTTATAAGAAGCTGATGATATGAAAACCTAGGAAATGGGTTGTGTGATAGAGGACTTCTCAAGAGAAACCCTCAAATAGTTATAAAATAATCCTATATAAATTTTAGAATAAACTCACAATCTCTTGATTAGCAGGACCAATTGGTGTCATAAAAAATAAGGTAGTTCTTTTTAAAAGATAGTGATATTTTAGTTTAATGAAGCCTCCAAACTCTATGAAAATATTTTTAGGAACTAACATCTTAAAATATATGGTTTTGTTCTCAGATCCTTCCATCTTAAGAGGTGCACTTGTAGGCCACTCAGATGCAGTCTGGGGTTTGGTTTATAGTGGAACACACCAGCGTTTGCTCTCCTGTTCAGCAGATGGCACCATACGTTTATGGAAGGCTTTGGAGATCTCTCCTGCTTTAAATATATTTAATGATAATCAAGGTACTGTACAATCTTCTGTTTCTTAGAATGCATTGCATTTGCTTTTAATACATACATACATACATACATACATACATACATACATACATACATACATAGTATTATAGTTTTATTATATTTCATGACTTCTTTAAACTTGTTAATGATCAGAATAAAAGCTGTTGGCTTGTTTTCAATGTGTGTTTGTATAAGATTGGTTATTTTTAAAAGGAACTACTATTAGAGAACATTCACTCATTTTTAAAAAAAATACATCTTAAGATGGTTTTTAATTTTCTACATACAGCTGGAGATTGAACTGTAACAGTAATTGGTAGATTATATTCAATTATATATTCTGCCAGTCATAGGAATGAGTACCACCAGCGGATAGAATTCTCCCTCTGCCATTCATTCAATCAATACTCCATGTCTCTGCCATAGGATTTGGATGCATGGTTTAAGGTGGGTGGACATTGTGAAGAAAGAAAAAGAAACTCTTTCTGCACAGGTTTGCTCACAGGAAAACAAGAGGAAGCCTTGTATTTGATGATAAGATTATATTCCTATCAAATATGGTATAAGACTCCATACTGGAGAAAGTGTATGCTCTTATATTGTATGGCAGTGTAGTCATTGCTGGAAAAATACATTATTGTTACTTTCTAAATGAGCAGTATTCAAATGCTTTCCTTAAGATAGTTCTATCATTCTCTGGAATAAATATTATAATTTGAGACACTCGTGGATGGCTTCATCATTGGAATATTCATATCAAATAGTAATGAAAGCAACATTACAGTGTTTATTCATTGTAAAAAAATATTACTCCGGTTATTCCAAATTTTCCAATAATATTTTTTTATCCAATTTTGTGCAACATGTGTTCTCTTCCCTATAACCATGTTATCATTTTAGATGTTGGTGGGATTCTTCTTATAGATGAATGGCATAGCTAGATTCATTTTTATGCTGATTCCACCTAACTTTTCATTGTGTATTTTTTATGCTTTTTTGTTCTGAAGTTACTCTGGTTGGGTAAATCTTGAATTAAAGATATATATAAATATTTATTTAAGATTTTGGTGGTTTCACTGTTGAGATAGATTTCTCCTGTTCTAACACCTCAAAAATTGTTTATTATGCAATTAAAAAAACCCATATTTCTTGTGTATGTCATCCTCTCAAGTAATGTTTACATTATTGTTACTTGAATACTCATGCTAAAATAAATATAGCTATTTCAGGTTATAACTTCACAGTAACTGTTTAAACTTGTTTTGTACTCTGGGCATTCTTTTTGTAGAAATGGGAATTCCATCATCTGTGGATCTAGTGAGCAGTGACCCAAGCCTTATGGTAGCATCATTTAACACTGGATATACAAGCATTTTTAACATGGAAACAAAACAACACATTCTTACCTTGGAGTCCAACATAGATACTAGTATGTATTAAATACTGCAACAAGGGTTGGTGGGGAATTATTTTTATGATAGTCTAATTTGTTGAAAAAGTTGATGCAGTGTGTCTATATGTCTGTCTACTCTGTTTCCCCGAAAATAAGACATCCCCGATAATAAGCCCAATCAGGCTTTTGAGCGCATGTGACAGTAAGCCTCCTCCTGAAAATAAGCCCTCCCTGAAAATACTTAACACAGAGCTGGAAATCAGGTAAAATGGCAAAAGGAGCCCTATCTTGTTCTACGCAGCCCAAAATAATAAGACCTCCCTGAAAATAAGTCCAAGTGCTTATTTCAGGGTTCAAAAAAATATAAGACAAGGTCTTATTTTTGGGGAAACAATGATAATTATCTAAGCATAATGGAGAAAATGGTAGTGAAGTGTTAAAAATCAAATGGAATGAATGAAGAAGAGAATTTGTTTTAAGAAGGAAGGGCTGTAGAATTGATTAAGCCCCCCCAAAAAAACATTTAAAGGGAACTTCTTGAAGAGCCCTTAACAAAAATTGCCCCCAAGAAATAGAAAAAAACAAAGAAAATTAGTAAAGAAGCAGCTTCCGAATTTTTTTTGATAGCAGTTATAAATATATTTATATTTTATCCTTTCTGTCTAAGATTACACCATAAATTCCTTCTTTCTACAAGCTGCCCTTTCTAATCTTCAAATCCATAAATCACAGTTTATTTTTCTAATTTTTAAGCAAAAATTCTATAAAGGGATTCCAGTTACTGACAAATGTACTTGTTGATCTTTGGCTAATCAAACAAATTAATTTTGCTATCTCTGCTAGTTCTGTCATTTTCATTAAGCATTCCTCTGTTGTGGATATTTTAGAAACTTTCCATTTTTGTGCAAATAATAATCTGGCAGCAGTAACCATACATAAAAATAATCATCCATAGGTCTTTGTTACTTGACTGCGCATTAATCCTAGCAAGAAAATTTCTAGTTTCAGATGAATGTTGATCTTTAAAATTGTTTGTATTATTTTATGTTTTTAAACCCAGAAATTTCTGGCTTTTTTACAAAATGATGTTATAAAATGACCCTTCATGTTGTCCACATTTTCAATATAAATTTGAAGTATCTTTATATTTTCTTGACAATTTTTCTATAGTCATATATCAATGCTACATAATTTTATCAAATTTTATCTTTTAGGTTATAACATACTGTAAATTGGAATCTTTTTAACCACATACGTTTCTATTGTTCTATTATTATATTGTGTCAAAAGTTCTTAGTCCATTTAATCATATGATATTTAATTTGTTCTTCTTTTGTGTGCTTTATATAGGAATCCACTATGTTTAGAGAGCCTAATAATTTAAATAATGTGAATATAATTGTTTGGGTCCCGAAAATGTTCTTTCATCAGAATTGCCTACTAGATAAGGCCATTAGTGTTTCAGAATTTTATGTGACTTAAACATTTTTTTTGGAGTTGATTTTGTTTGCATGTGTGTTTTCTGTCAACAGCAGTTAACACTTCTTGCCAAATAAACAAAGTAATCAGTCACCCAACTCTTCCAATAAGCATCACAGCCCATGAGGACAGGCACATTAAATTCTATGACAATAACACAGGTAAGTAGCCTGTTTCTCTGTGTAATATACCGTAAACCCCAAGATGATATGGGATCACTGACAATTTGAATATAACTTCATTAAGAGGTGAATTTTTAAGATCAGTATCCAGTTATAACCACTGACAGACAAAAACAATTGTAAGAATAAAGGCTTGTTGGCTGAGCAATGCAGACTATAGAATTAAGTGGGTAATGCATTGTATTTATGGTAGAAATCTTGGATACTTGTCATTGGTATGATCTGTCCACAGTTTTTTAAGAGATCTGAAGAAACCATTTATATTAATGTGTTTTCTACATAGTGCAAAATGAGATTGTTGTTAAAATCTGTGGAGATTTTTTGTTCTTTGTATAAACTTGTAAAAATCTTCCAAAAAAAGATTTTTAGACTGTTTTTGCTCATAACGCAATGAAAGTAAATTTGTAAATCATATCCCTTAAAATACTTGTAGTTGTTTATAATTCTTAGGGTATATGCCCAAAGGAAGAAACGTGTGGTGCAATCAGGACTCAGTTTTACTGAATACATTTCTGTTCAAGAATTTTAACTATTTAGCTTGGCAAAGAAGCTGATTAAGAGTTTGTGCACGCAACATAGCAATTGTATTGCAAATGTGTTTACAGATTCTTTCTTCAAAGCTATGTAAGAGTAAAGGCCTTTGGGAAGTGCAGGGGAGAACTGTAAAGGCGATGCTGATCTATTCCTTTGAGAACTAATAAAGATATGGTGTACTGTGACCCAAGTATCAGTTTTGAGAAGCATATTATACAGTGAAGGTGATACTGACAAGAACAGTGCATAATTAGGTGATTATTCAGCAAAGAGACTAGAGTTCGTTAAGAATAAGATATTCTGCTTTGTGCTAATACATGGTACAGTATAGATGTTTAGTATGAGTACATATCATTTTACATTTCTAACTTTCTTTAATATCTTAAACTGATTGCAAGTTCTAATATATTTGTATATTCAACTGCAAAGGGAAACTGATCCACTCTATGGTAGCCCACTTGGATGCAGTCACAAGTTTAGCTGTTGATCCAAATGGCTTGTATTTGATGTCCGGCAGTAAGTACATTTTGTCTTTTTAAAAGTGTCTTGCTAACAATAGGATTGGTCACAAAAGTAAGAACTTCTTTTCTCCTTTAGGCCACGATTGTTCTATTCGCTTATGGAACCTTGAAAGCAAAACCTGCATCCAGGAATTTACAGCTCATCGCAAAAAGCACGATGAATCCATTCATGATGTGGCATTCCATCCCACCAAATGTTACATTGCCAGTGCAGGAGCAGACGCACTTGCCAAAGTCTTTGTATGATACAACACTTTCCTGTCCTTCTAGCTGCCTTGTACATATCTATAAATATATATGTCTATATCTATAAAATAAGCTGTACAAAAGATAAGAGCAAGAATCTTCTTGTAATCTTTAATTCCGTGAATGTTAGCAATTGCTTCTGATTATATGATCTCAGTCCTGAGAGCTTGGAAGCTCCCTATTTCAAGCGATCTATGGAAGAACCGTTTTAATTTTGAAAGTGTCCTTTTTTGTCTAGGCTGGACTTGGGCAAAATGAGATGCTGTCTCAATTTATGCAACACAAAGGCTAACAGCTTTGTGTTTTAATGGATAAGCTTCTCCCAACCTGGTGTACTGTAAATGTGTTGAGGCTGCAACTCTTAAGAGCTTCCAGACAGCACTTCTACAGGACAACAAGTTGGAGGAGGTAGCAAACAGATCTTAAATTACAATGTTCCCCTTATTGGAAATTCATGCAATTCAGATCCTTGAGACAGTTAATTCATCATCTCCTTTTCTAGCACTGAATGGTTAAATGAGTCACAGAATCTCAGCCTGAAGAGTCTTATAATAGACAGGTTGGATTTAAAGTATTGACTATTTAAAAATACGAATGCGATAACATTTTCTAAAATTATGTTAAAAGAAGATAGGTAAAAGGCTTATAAATGTAAATTCTATTGAAACTGTTGGAAATGAATGTTAACGGGTGGCTGGAACCACAGTATAGCCTTTAATGTAACTTCTTCTAAGATGATGGGGCATATGTTTACAATAAGGATCTTATTAGTTTCAGATGCTAATGACTATTCATTGTAGAGCTAAAGAATATTACGTATCTTTCCAACTACCCAACAAATGCAATTTCTAAATTTTCCTCATGGGGGTGATTATTGGTTTGGAAAATATATATATGCTTTTTTCCTGCTTTCTAAACTATACTGCATCAGAATATAATAAACCATACAAGAGCAGTACTGTTTGGGATATGTGAGGTGATTGACTTCTATTTACCATGGACAAAACCCATATGAAATAACAATGGTTTCCTGCCCCCTTCCAGTGATTCCATAATGTTTGCCAAAACTGGGAGGGTTTATGCCAATGCAAGCTGCAAGTGTCCTAAGGTAGATGGTGTTCTTCTATATCTGGGGTGTCAAACTCAAGGCCCGCAGACCAGCCTGGAAATATCAAGGACCACCCAACGGTGCCTCTGGAGGCTACAACGGGCTGTGTGCAGCCCCCCCTGTGCCTTGTTTTCACCCTCCATGGCCCCCTGCAGCATTCTGCTGGCTGAAAATGGTCTGAAAATGGCCCAAAAAATGGGCCCAAAATGGCCCCAAAAACCGGCCCAAAATCACCCCCAAAAAACAGCTCAAGAAACAAGCTGAAAACGGGCCCAAAAATGGGCCATGGAGGGTGAAAATGAAGTGCAGGAGCCCCCCGTGTTCCGTTTTGGCCAGCAGGGTGCTGCAGGAGGCATCCATCCCACCCCCCACCCCCACCAGCCTGTGGTGAAGAACTACAATGCCAGCCCTCAAAGAAATCCAGTGTGACACCCCTGTTCTATATGCATTGTTCTCTCCCCTTGCCTGCTGCCCACAATCGTCATGGTTTTATATAGCAGGCCTTGAAGTGTTGGGAATATTTGACTGGATTTGGTTTTTGAAAGTACTTGAAACTTAAAAAGATTGGCCATATTTGGCTATTATGTTATGGTACTATTAACGGTTATTTTTTTGTAGGTTTGTTACAAAAAACCCAAACCTGTTATAGTTGTTTCCTCTCCTACAAAAACTTATTAAATAGGAATAGCTGTTACACATTCATTATTTTTGTGATTTTGTGTCAAAGCAGAAAATCCAACTACACAAAACACATCTATGTGTGACTGTTGTGTATTTCCCTTTACTAGCTTGATATCCTTATTTTTTAAAAGGATATTACAGATGTTAAGCTGTGTATATTTTGTGTATGTGTGTATATATATATATATATCTTTATATATATATATAAATATATGACAGAGATTGTAAACAGTATATATTATAAGTAAGGGAGATTCTATGGATAATTTCAATGTTTTAGTACTGAAAGTTCTTGAGACTTAATACAAAGGATAAAACATAAATAGTATAAATACTGCTGATGTTTAAATTGCTGTACATATCACTAATAGGTCAGCATGTTTGATTAAATTATGAATGTAACAAATGTTCCTGTTCAAATATTGATAGAAGGATGTGCCATCCTGCTTAGTGATTTTTTGATCCAAGAGAAGTGACTTTTAAAACAGGTGAATAGCCAGAGTTTTGAGGTGCCATTGAGCAAACAAAATGTAGCCTTATGAGATTGCGGGCTCTGTTGCAGATTTTGTGTTTGTCTTTCAGATTGCATATTAAAATCTGCATTGTACTAAATACAAATATATTCTGTTGCAGTTGAAAAATATCCTTTTTAATTGATAAACTGTTTCATTTATCTTGCAATCTTGGATTTCACTTCTGTTATGCATTCATACTCATTTTTAGATCAGTTTGATTAATGTTCAATGTGTATCTTTTCTTTATGTTATTCAAATTAAGTTCATCACATCAACTGCCTTCACTTAACATACTGTAGTTGAAATCATGTCTAATTATTTAAATGTTTTGCCTATGCAGCTAACCAGGGAGAAAATGCTGAGCATATGCTTGTCATCTGAAGATGTAGCTATTGATTTGTGAAGAACAGGAAGAAATGTGTGAACTAGTGCTGCCCTTAGACCTTCCATAATTTATTTCAAGAGCACATTCTTTTCCCCTTGTTATCTTTCCTTTTCAAATAAGAGGGAGAAAATTTAAGCCTCCAGTTGTTGTTTGAAGCAAAAAAAAAAAAAAAAGATATCTTAACTGCATGCTAACTGAAACCCTGTACTGTAAATCAACAAACTGAAAACACACAATGGTAACCATGTTTCATAGTAATATGTGTGATTTACAGGTACCAGTATATATTTATCCTGTTGGTCTTCTTATTAAACCAATCGTTTAAAGTGCTTGAAAAGTACAAAAGTGTAGCTTGGTTGTAGTTGGATGGATATATTTTATTTCTTCTAGTATATTACTTGGCATTTCATTAACTGCCCTCCTGGACAATAGACACATTTGGATTTTGCATGTACAGAACAATTTTTGTGCATACATGAAGTTATATTTTAGTACATGACTTTTCGTTAAGCATTAACAGAAGGGCAATAGCTTATGTTCTTTTTGCCATATTTTATTTCAGAGAATCTAGAGAAATCTCTTAATTTGAATTCTTTTGAGTATTTGGATTTAAATCTATTACTTTGAGATAATTGGTAGTATTGGTAGTACTAGAAGTGATTTTCATTCTTCATCAGAAAACTGTGGTTCGTTTCTTGTGTTTTATACTACAGCTAAACTGAAATCAAATCCCTCCCAAAATATAAATGAAATTCCTGAAAAAGAGTAGAAATCCTTCTGCATTTAGCATGGTAACAGTAACTGTCATAGACTGCTTCAATAAATATGTACACGGATCTACATAGTTCATGTGATGATCACTGTAATTCATGGATACAAACCTTAATATTGGCTTGGATCAATAGAAAGAAGTAATGAAGTATGGGTGATACTGATCATGAACCCCTCAAACTACTCTTCGATTTGACATAATGTTGTTGTTTTTTCTTTATAAAAATGGCTTTTATAATTCCCTCTATTTTCTTATATATGTTTACTTAGAAGTACATCCTCTATGATCAACATGACTTACTCCAACAGAAACATACATAGAATTTGCAATATTTTTATTATACTGGAAATAGTTTTAATAATGCTTTGTAATGCCAGTTTGCCTAAATTTTGATTAAAATCATTTAGGCTTCTGTTTCATCATATTAGGAGATTTTGCATCAACAAAGAAAACGGTGATGATGCTAGATTTTAGGAATATTTATAACAAAGAATTCTTCACTGAATATTACTCAATATCTGTCAGTTTTAGTCCAGGAGTTATTCATAATTGTTATAAATATGCACTTTAAAGTTGTCAATATAGTTTGTCATTTGGTTAACATCAACTAAAGATGCAAAAAGTGGAACATGCCAATTGAGAATTAGTATAGCAATTTAAAAAATAAACTTTTTAAAAGCAAATGGCACAAACTTTGTGAAGCATCTTGAGTAAATCTGTCTACCAAGAAAATTTTCTTGTAATTGTTATTGCAATTAAATATGAGGTAAAAGTGATGTGGTAATGAAGGTAGTAACTCTGGGTAGTTGCTAATAAAGTGTGAATGTTTTGTACAGTACTTGCATTCTCTGTTGAATAAAATCTAATGGACCTTTCTGTAGTAACACTATACAGAGCAGCTTTACTAAACATTGCAGCAACAAATAAATGTCCTTTGTAATATATATTTATGTAAATTGGGTGCTAATAAATACTATTTTTCAACACCTTCGTATCTTTGCATTTGATACCGGTGCATGAATGTATGGATCGGGTGGGTTCTTCTTACATTTACTACCGGCTTGCAACGGGGCCACGCGCTCGCTTCGCTTGCGCACGCCCTTCTGTGCATGCGCAGAAGCTTCCTGATGACATCAGGGTCGGTGGGCGGAGCCTCCCTTCGGTTTTACTACCGGTTCTATAGAACCAGTCCAAACTGGGGGCGACCCCCACTGGTATGATGTTACAGGTTGGAGAAAACACTGAAAATGTAAGGCTTAGAATAGAAAGAAAAGGTTCTTTATAAACTGGTTTTTGCTCCATAGAAATATAGTGTGTTTTGCTTATAATGATCTTTGATTGCTGCTACTGAATTAAAATAAAACCTCAATAGGGGTCAGTCTTAGAATTAAGCTGTTGAATTCTCCCAAATTTATTATTTTAGATTATTTATTAAGCAAAACAAGGACTGGGGAGATAGATATATGATTTAATTTAAGCCCAGCCAATTCTGGGAATTGAAGTCCACACATCTTAAACTTGCTAAGGTTGAAAAATGGTACACAGCCACATTGGTCCAGTGTAGATTATTATATAGATATTTTTGAGTTTTCCAATCATGGACTGGGAATGACTGATCTATTAGTCTGAGAGAGAGCTCCTGCATAGTATTTCTATGTGTAATATGTAGCTGATGGCTTGTACTAATGAAAACTGTTAAGTTCCTATACAGAAAGAGCCTTGGTAGTACAGTGGTCTAAGGCACCCTGTTATTAAGCTGGTTATTAAGACCAGCTGCCTGCAATTACTGCAATCTCGCCAAGGCTCAAGGTTGACTCAGCCTTCCATCCTTTCTAAGGTAGATAAATTGAGGACCCAGTTGGGGCAATAAACTGACTTTGTATAAATATAAAAAAGAATGAAGGCTATTGCTTAGCGTATTGTAAGCCGCCCTGAGTCTCCGGAGAAGGGCGGCATATAAATCAAATTTTTAAAAAAATGCTGTTTCTGTCTGCAATGATGTATGTCCAAGTTAGCTGGAGTCTATAATTTCAAGAATATATAGTACATGATATCTAGGAAAAGCAACATGATGATCAATACACATGTACACTGAGCGCTCTGTACTGGAGACAGATTTCTTGTGTGTCAAATCAAACTTGACCAAATAAAGTTTTGTTCAACTCAATTCAATTCAATAATATACTGATGTATATTTTCATGGCCGATATGTGCTGGGCAGTGTTGTGTTTCAGGGTTTAGTGACCGCAACAGATTTCCTGACTTTTCACCAACAGCTATGACTGGCATTTATTTTAAAATACATTTTGGACTGCTATACAGGGCATAGGCAGGGCCCGATTAGGTACCTGCTGACTTCTGATTGGCGAAGCTTTTTAAAATGAACCCTTTGATGTAGAAGCATTTCTTCTAATCTATTGTGTGGTGGACCCATAAATGATATAATTCGATAATGACTGGTTAGAGCCACTTAAGATATGTTTGAGATGTTCTAATATTCATCTGTTATACTTAAAAGGATAATCTTAGAAATATGTTCCAATGAATTGTAGCATTCTTGAGAATATGTAGTTTTCATACAGCGTAGTATTAATTTGTTTTATTACTAATCTCATCCCACATTTGGATTGTTAGGCTGAAACAGAATTCTGATTATTCAGAATTCATCAGAACAATAGTAATATCCATTTAAGAATTAGCCACTAAAATGTTTATTTGTAGGGCATGCATAATTCATAATGATTTCCATGCTGAAAACTTCATGGACTTCATGGACCAATAATCCCATGTAATATAAGAGTATTTGTTTGTCTCCTTTTGAAAAAAAATGTGAACAAGGCAGAGAGTGCATATGACAGCATCTTCTGAATACTCCTGAAGTTTCTTACATATTAAAACACTAAACATTTTGCTTTTTCATTAAAAAAAAAGTAACACAATTTTTTTGTAACTTTTATTGGAAAAAGTACCACAGCTTACAAAAAGCTATTATAAAACAGAAGATGGAGCTTTGCTCTCTTTTGGATATACAAGTGCATAGGGGGAAGGCATAAAATTGAGATTCACAAATTCATGTTTCATTACTCATCAATACTTAGCTGAATTCTTTGCACCAGCCTTCACTAAGGGAAGCAAAGCAATGATAATCAGCTAAAACAACATTTCAGAAGACAAATGAAGTAAAGAAAGCTGACATAACAATTACTGACCATTAAACATGAAGAAGTGCTCAAGTAACCCTCCACTGTATACTTGTGAAATCGTTGGCTTTCTCACCTATTTCTCAACTATCTAATGTAGCACAGTAATTCATCTTTGTATGGGTTTCTAGAAAGTGGCCAGTTTTCTTTAAAAAAACAAAACAAAAACCTTAGGAAATTACAATTGATGTCTGTTTTTGTAAATTGGAAAAAATAAATATGAATATAAGTATATAGAGTCTTTCCTGAAATAGAATCAGTCTAGTTCTGTATTTCTCACTATTTGCAATGTCAAGAAACATGTGGATTAGAAGGGTTCAGCCGAAATACTCTATATATGTAGAGTATTTTCACTTTCAAACTACTTTTGGAGACTTCTTTATATGGAAATCCTAGATAAGCAACAGGAAACCGCTATTAGGGCTCAACCTCTACTATTTAGTCTACTAAGGATGAAAAAGCTATTATAAATATTATTGTGTTTTAGAATTCAAATGCTAATAGTAATTTACTAGGGGTTTTTATTTTTTTAAAGGAAAACATTCCCAATGAGACCTATGATTGATTGGCTGCACCATGTTTGTAGCAGTTGTCAAGATTAGTCAGCAGGCTACTCTCCTTACTTATATGACAATGAGTGGAAAATTCTGGCTATCCTGTCTTCATGAATGTAATAAGGAGAACAATGATGAACTTATCTATATATTTAGCTGCCCCACAATTTGGGCTCATGTTACAGACTGGTATACAGTTGAAGCACATGAAATGGAAGTTAAGGCAAAATATACAATGTGCTGAAAACTTCCTCCAGTGCTTGGTAAGCAGGCCACAGATACGTGCTTTTTTCATCACACTGTCTATATTTAATCATTGTCTTGTTTGCTGCTTATCATTTACATGACTGCCAACATCTGTAATTAAAGGTTAGGATCCAAACTATTTTACAATATTCAAAAGTGATAAGTCAAGCCTGTTTCTTGCCTTCACCACCACCCTTGGAGACAAATGTTAAAGGTGGCTTTGAAATCTTCAGAAATATTCCATGCCTGTTAAACTGAAAAGTTAAATTCATTGAGTCCAACTGATAATTTTAAACAAGTCAAAAGCTATTGACCAAATTGTTAACAGATCAGTTCAGAAACCAGTAAAGGGAGGTGTGGGAAGCATCACTTCCATTATGGTTATGCTTGGAGAACAGATCTGAAATTATCCTTTAGGTAAAATTTCTCATCAGGCATTTATAGGATGCAATTTCAGCAATGCAACCCTTGTAGCTGGATACAATCAGTTCCGTGGCTGTGAATTAAACTCTGTACAAATATTCTGAACAATTTTAGGAACAAATCTATAGAGTCTGTCAAATTCATCCACAAAGAATGAATGTTCCTTATCAGGGTCAGTTGCCACAGCTTCCAGTTCATCTTGGGCAGCCCATGCAATTCCTATTGAGTAGGCTATTACACCTGCAGGGGGAAAAATAGGCCATAATGGATCAATGCTTTTTTAAAAATTTATGCTGCATTCATATACATCTTCATAATACTCCAGATAGAATATGAAAAAAGAAGAGACTTGTGCCTCTTCAAAAGGAGTAATGCAGGTCCCTATTACTTTACAATTGGGGTATTTTTTTTAATGGTTTTCAAGTACCCAGGACCCCATGCTGAATTTTCTGTCAATTGAGAAAACAGTGAAAGCCCGAAGAGCAATTTCCCACCACTGTAACTTATGCTAAGTAAAATTGTGCTACGCTTTCGATCCAGAATTGAACTGCTCCCAGTTCAGCACTTTCCAAAAGAAGTGTCTTTTCTTAGATACTTCCTCCATTTAAATGTTTTTTTCCCCTACAATTGTCCAGCTACTATGTCAGCAGTTTCTTTAAGGAGGTGACAATACACGTTCTATACAGAACTCAAGATATTCCAGGCCAGCCATGCCTAAAGGACCTAAGTCTTCAACAATTCCACCTAACTCAATTAAACTTGGTCCTCACACAATCTAAGAATAGTCTGTCAATTGTGGCTGTGGGGAATTGGGAATACTAAACTTAATCTTAACTTGGATTTCTGGGTGGCCTAATTTAAACGCCCTCTTCAGATCAATAGCCCTACACCTGGCTAAACCTTTCTGAAACAAAAATACAACAACAGGCGATTACCATTCTGGTGTGCTGCTAAAGCTGGTCCCCTGACATCATCGTACGATCTGCCATCTGTAATCAAAATCATGATTTTCCGCTTGTTAGGTTTGGATTTGCTGAAGAGCTGCTCAAAGGCGAAGTTGATGGCTGCTCCGGTGCTGGTTCCTCCACTCCAGTAGTTGATTCTTTTGATAGCGTTCAGCAGCTCCTGCTTAGTGCTGTGCTTGTTAAAGTCAAATTCCAACCTTTGTTCATAAGTGTACTGCACAGCTCCGATCCGGGTATCTGTATCAGAAATCTCAAACTCTTTGCTAATATTGGCTACAAATTGCAGAATGGTGCGGAAGTTACCTGTGCCAACGCTGCTAGATCCATCGATGACAAACCCAATGTCGGCTGAATTTAGACAGGTTTTGCTGCAAGCCAGGCGGTCAACATCACAGATTCGTTTTACTAAAGGCTGCACTACTTTGTACAAGGTAAACCAACTGGTGACATGAATGGAATAGTATCCATTGGTCCTGCATACAGCCTAAATGATAGAATATTTTTATTAAAAAAATTCAAAAAAAGCTTTATATCATAATAAAATCACATAAAATATTCAAAAATTACTGTAGTAGACACCCTGATTTCCCTCTGTTTACATGGTTTTGCTCATGAGTATAATTGCCAGAAAATACATTTATACATTTATAGATTTAATCTTGTAATATCACTGATCTGGAGTTATTCCTGTTTGCAGCTGGTCTCCATCAGTGTTCTAAGATCTGAAAACTTAATATTGCAGTTTTGTAATATTGCAAGCAAGATGACCCAGATTTGGGGGGCAATATGCTGACATTTGTAAACCACTCAGAGAGTGCTGTAAAGTACTACGCACGTGATGGTGAACCTATGGCACGTGTGGCACAGGTGGCACATGGAGCCCACTCTGCAGGCACATGAGCCGTCACCCAGCTCAGCTCCACTGTGCATGAGCGCGCGCTTCCCACTGGCCAGCTGATTTTCGGGTCTGCCCTGCAACTGGGAGACGCGCATGCAGAGGACCTACCTTTCTCCTCACTTTTTGCTGCCTGTGCCTTCCCAGACCTCTGGAGATTCCCCTCCCAGCACTGTTTTGGGAGGCAAGGCTTTTTTTCCCCTTCCCAGCCGTTTTGGGAGGTGAGGCTTTTCCCCCTCTCAGCTGTTTTGGGAGATGAGGCTTTTTCCCCTCTCAGCCATTTTGGGAGGTGAGGCTTTTTCCCCTCTCAGCTGTTTTGGGAGGTGAGGCTTTTCCCCCTCCCAGCCATTTTGGGAGGCAAGGGCTGTTGTGGGATGTGAGGCCAAATGGGAGGGGGTTGCACACGCATGCGCGGGGGAGGAGGGAGCAGTGGTCACTTGTGCCTGTGCAGGGGGTCGCGCACGCATGTGCAGGGGAGCGGGGCGTGCGGGAGGGGCATTGCATTATGAGTGTGGGCACGTGCGCGCGCACAATAGCGCACACACACACTTTTGGCACCCGAGGAAAAAAAGGTTAGCCTCACTGTACTATGGAGTGGTGTATAAATGTAAGTGCTATTCCTCTTATCTTGAACTCTATTGGAATTCTTTCACACAGTTTCCAGCCAGCATGGCCAGTGTACATATCAGGTGGGAAATTATTAGGAATGAAGTCCAATACACCCGAAGGTCCTTGGTTTTCTTTTATATAAGACTGGTTTTAGTACTGCAAAATCAGAATTTTGTCACTCGTTGAGATGGGTGACTTTATAAATTAATTAAACAAATAGATAAATAACTTTGTTCTATCACATGAATGGATTGCACATTTGTGTAGTTCTTTACTTTGTAAAATGCAGCTACCATAAATTAGTGTATACAAATATGTGCTTAATTCATGTCTCAGAAGGGCTCATTGTAGCTCTGTCCTAGAAAACTTAAATAAAATCAAAATTAGTCAATAGGCTGGAGCCTGCCCAGCTTTAAGGGATGAAGCACTTCAGAGTTCAGAAGAAATGTGTTTCATGGCAAACCTATGGGAAAGTGCACAAAATATCCAGAAGGTGTGACCAGAAAAGAAAAAGTTATTTTTGCATTTCCCAAAGACAGCTTTGCTTTTTGAAGGAGACTTCATTTGCCAAGCCTTCAGGAAGAATTCCAGCTCATAAGAATGCTCCTTAATTAAAAAGGCATTCTGTAAAATGCATCCAGTCTAAATTCTAGAGCTTATGAGGACAAGTTCTAACTAAGGTGCATCCAGAACTGTCATGTGTATTGTAACAAATTCATAAATAAATCCACCTGGAGGCAATAGCCCACAGTGTCCACAAAGCAAAATCTGAAACTCCAGATTTTCAATTGCAAAGTGTGTTGCTGCTGGAATTGTATAATTTCTCTCTGTTGCTCTCTGGACTGTTGTATTCTTCATTTTGTTATACTCAAGTTGACAGTCAAAATGAGCATGATACTAGAACTTCACCATATCTAGAGGAAAAAAACCTTTGGATTCCAATGGAAACTTTCCTTTGTTGTGAATAATAGGTATATATAGAATGGGGATAGTGAATCCAGTTAGAACTGTTTCAGAAGCAAAAGATAAAAGCCCCTTAACTCAGGGGTGGGTTCTACTTACCTATACTACCAGTTTGCAATGGGACCGCTCTCTCGTGCATGCACAGAAGCTTCTATGCATGCACTGAAACTTCCTGATGACATCCGGGTCAGTGGGCAGAGCCTCCCGCTGGTTTTACTACCGGTTCTTGTGAACTGGTCCGAACCAGGAGCAATCCACCACTGCCTTAACTTCATAATATTGAGCTGTCCACAATTGTCCACTTTTTAATCAAATACAGTAGTTCTGTATTTCTTTTAAATACAGATAGTCCTCGACTTACAACCATTCATTAGTGACCATTACAACAGCACTGAAAAAAGTGACGTATGATCTTTTGTCACACTTATGACTGTTGCAGCATTCCCTGGTCACATGATTAAAATGTAGATGCTTGGCAACTGGCATTTATTTATGGTGGTTGCAGTGTCCTGGTGTCACGTGATCACTTTTTGTGACCTTCTGACGAGCAAAGTCAATGGGGAAGCCAGATTCACTTAACAACCCTTGTTACTAACTTAACAACTGCAGTGATTCACTTAACAGTTGTGGCAAGAAAGGGTCTAAAATGGGGCAAAATTCACTTAACAATGAAAGCAACAATCTTGCTTAGCAATGGAAATTTTGAGCCCAATTGTAGTTGTAAGTCAAGGACTATCTGTATCCACTATCCAAGAACAGTTTTCATTGGCTTTGTTTTTAAATTTAAAAAAGTATGGTAACTTAATGCACATTGCATTATCACAATGTTTGGCAAAACTGAGCCCAGGGCTGTAAAGTAATGACTTTGGCAAAACAACTATAATCTGTTCTTGTCTGATTATGCCATATGTGGTAAAGTGATCAGACTTTGTATTTTCCCAGAATAAGACATGCACACTCCAAAATCTGCCACTATCTTCTTACCTTGTCCACAAAGTTTGTCTCAATGACATTTTTCTTTTCATTTTCATCGGGTCCTTCAATGGTGACAAAGAAAATGTTAATGCCAGACTCCCGTGCCAACCTGGAGGCTTCTTCTACCTTATCAGTGGGCCATCCATCCACTAACACGACAGCCACATTGGGGGCACCTCCTCGGTTGCCGTTGGCATCTTCAAAGTAGTTTTTGTTAACAAAGGACAAAGCTTTTCCTGTGTGAGAAAGAGTGGCAGAGGGGAAAGAGTTGTTCCTTTGTTTAGTAAATCTTTAAAAAGTTAGTTCCTATTTATTTATTTGGCATTGTATTACACATTATTAAGACTAAAAATGATAAAATAGAGGACAGAAGCAAACCCCAATCAAAAGAAACCCAAAGCCAATGTCAAGATGCAGCGGATCAGTAGGAAGCTCCTTATTGTCAGGCTCAATTCGACGTAAAGCAATTATCTGCACTGTGATTTTGATAGGAATACATGCTCCGGTTGAAATGTGAATAGAAATAGCATTCACCCTGAAACAACAGCTGAAATAAACCTTCTGCCCACATTATGATGGAAATATTCATAGCCATTGAAACCATATGATGGAAATAATTTTCTCAACCAAATGTGTCTGAGACTGCAGATGTATATCAACTTCACATACATATCTAATAATCTTAATCTGTGCTGTTCCTACAGAAACTACTCAGATTTGTGGTAAAATGAAGGGCTCTACAATATCTGCATGATAAATTTTAGAAGCTGGAAAATACACTGCTCAAAAAAATAAAGGGAACACAAGCAAAAGACATCCGAGATCTGAATGAATGAAATAGCCTTATTAAATACTTCGTTCGTTACATACAGTAGTTTTGTGTTCCCTTTAGTTGTTTGAGCAGTATATAAACTACTGTATGTAAAGAACAAAGTATTTAATAAGGCTATTTCATTCATTCAGATCTCGGATGTCTTCTGCTTGTGTTCCCTTTATTTTTTTGAGCAGTGTTGTACAGTTCTTGCATCTTATTGTTTGAAATCCTAGGGCAATAAATGGTGATGCCAAAACATTCTATTCCACTGTATGAGTTTCCTCATACAGTGGAATAGAATGTATCTTTACATTGACTCCCTCTTTCAGAATTCAACACTGTTGATTGGGGGAACATGTTTCCACTCCCAAAATCAGAAAAGACAGTCTAGAATAAAGGAAGCAAGTGATAATCTTGAGCCGAATCTATTAAGAAACAATAACTTCAAATCTTGGCATCTGATTGTTAAGCAGATTTGGTATGACATATCAGCTACCTACCAACATTTGATAAGCCTCCTTTTTGGGATATTTTCTCAATGGCATTTTTTAAGTCCTTGGTATTTGCATAGGCCTTCAAGTTAAATTCAGTAGAAGGGTTATCGCTGTTTGTAAAACGAAGAGAAAAAAACATGTAAAACCCAGTATTATCGGCAGCCCATTAATGAAAGTAAAGAAAGTCAATTTTCAGGTATTTTTTTCCAAGCAAAGAATTATATGCACAAATAGTTCCTGAATGCTGAGGTTTATGCTTTTACTTGTCACAATTGTTACTTGTAAGCAATTAGATTTCCATGGCTAATTTGTAGAGATGATTTTTTTAAAAGCAGAAAATAGAACTTTCTGTATAATAATTAATTAACAATTAAAAACAATTTATTATTAATCATTACTAATAATTTGCTATGCATTATTAATAGTAATAATTAATAGTAATAGTAAATTATTAATAGTAAATTGTTTGAATTGTTTAATAATTCATATTGAATTATTAATTTACTATTTGCTTCCATCTGCTAATTCCATCTTGTTCAGCCTTTCAAATAACTGGAGATCAGCTCTTTGGTTTAATAAAGGCATACCTACTTAATTTTACATAAGTTTATTAGTAGTCTATTGTTTTGTTTTGTTTTTCATGTTGGAAGTTGAGATGGTCCTTCCTCAAGGCATCTAATTAAACTTTCTGAACCCATTATCACCTGAGATTAAAAACATAGCATGACCCATATTTCATCCCTAAGAGGTTGGTAGCTTTTCTTCTCTTCCCCAATACTTAGAATCCTTATATCTCTGAAATGTATCCAGAAAAATATAACACTATATATAAAGATCAAATATAAGATAAATTTTGGATAGCTAGAATAGGGGACTGACCTGTTTAATTTTTTATCAATTTTTTTTTCATCTATTCTGATACACCAACTATTTTGAAATTGGGTTGTATATATACATACACACACATACCCCGATGCATATTTATTATTCCAATACACTTGTAATATAAATAAAGTTAAATAGAAATAAAATGAAATAAAATAAAATGAACAAATTGAAAATAAGCTATCCCAAATAGGCAATATTCAAAGGAAAAAAAATACTGAGTATGTATAAATTGCCCTTTCTGCATATCTTTTTTGCTATTCTACCAGAACTCTTGAATATATTTGGTTACTGCCAAAGACAGAACATTAATTTATGACACCTTTTTTCAAACTTTGGCCTTCCTGAAGGGTTACATCTACTTTTAGAGTATAATATTTAATACACAATAGAAGAAATGAGTGCCCACCTCGTCCCGTTATTGACCAAGGCTCTATTCTGATCTGTTAGCAAATCTAAAGTCAGATACTCGCCTAAATCCATAAAAATTCATGAAATAGGAGTTAGAAAAGGAGTTAACATATCTTTCAATTTTATTGATATTTATTTTTGTAGGTGCTTGTGTGTATGTGTGTGTGTGTGTGTGTGTATGATTGTCTGTGTCTATGTATATGTATGTTTATATGTGTGTATGATACACATTCTAAAATCTATATTACCTTCTTAAATAATGGTTTTTATAAAAACAATGCACTATTACCCATACTGAACAATGCCCATGAACGGCCCTATTGGGCCAACATTCAAGGCTTGAGATACATCTTTGAGGAATTGTTTCTGGATCTGAAAACGGCGCCTGCCAATGCTCCAGCTCCCGTCTATCAAGAAGGCTAAATCAACTTTGCAATCTAGGAAAATAAATTAGATTAAATACATTACAAATATATTAGAAGAGTTGGGGACCGTTTCTATTGTATGTTCTACGTTAAGATCATGACACCTCATTTATTTCTCAAGTGCTCTGCCTATCACTATTTGTGGTTATAGTCATGTTTGCAAGTGTTCTCAGAAGACAGAAGTACAGGATTGTCCAAAGCAGTGCTTGCAGTCCCTAATTTCTCAAGTCATGTTACATATTTATGAACAGCCATCCAAATAACTTTTTCACGGCATTTGTTCTAATCTGGAGTACCCTGGTAATTTTTTTTCTTTAACCAACAGCCAAATTGCAGGGGCATACAAAAGCTTCTAGATCTTTTGAGCCCACTAGGGGTAGTCACAGACATTTAAGTAATTAATGCTTATTCAGAAACAAATGATTGAAGAACTATTGGTATGACTTTTTTCCAGAGGGGGAAAAAGGGAAAGCTAATTTCTTCATCCTTGTGGTCCTATAATGGACCCTGAAGGTATTTCTGAATTTTCACACAACATGGGAAGTAGAACAAAGATTGCAGGGGAAAGGAGAAACTGATCAATATTGCCTTTGTTGGATTGAGCTCCTTCTACAAAGTAAGTTTTTCTAATCATTGAACAATTAATCCGCATCCAGCCCCATAGAGTTGTGGGTGTGAGATTTTAAACTATGCTTTACACCTAATAATTTATCATAATAGGAAGAATGCTATGATTTTTTTTCTTACTTTCTTCTGACTTTCTAAAGATGGAGATTACTTGTTCATGCCATTCAGTTCACTCACAAACCGAATGAAGTTTAGTCCAGGAATAGCTTAGCTATGTAAAACAGTTTAATTGCTGTATACATCACTCAAACCCCTTCTCAGAGAGAGATGGGAAATTAAGGTATGAAATATGAGAAGAGAGGACTCATTGGAAAAGACCCTGATGTTGGGAAAAATTGAAGGGAAAAGGAGAAGGGGACGACAGAGGATAAAATGGTTAGATAGTGTCATTGATGCAATGAACATGAATTGGCAAACTCTGGGAGACAGTGGAGGACAAGGGTACCCTGATGTGCTATGGTCCATGGGGTCATGACTTAGCGACTGAACAACCAACCAACAAACAAATAACTTTAATACATGCATTTACACTCATCTTATTGTATTGGGTAATATAACTCTGGATTAAAAAGTCATCCCTTCTCTCTCTCTTCTTACAGTAACCAAATTGATTATTATAATTTGTTGTTATCGCTGCAAGCTAGTGAAAAAAATATGCATTTATTAACAAATGATCAACATTTGAGTAAACCTGAATGGAAATTAATTTGTTCCCACTAGTAGTTCTGCTAGATTTCTCTTTGATCCCATTCCCCCCATCCCAAGAAGCAGATTTCATTCATGAAATGCCAAGTCTGTAAAATGTTCTCTTTGTCCGCTAAAAACAGATTATGAAAGGACCTAAATACATTTCTGATTCACATACTTGGATTTCCCTGGGAAACTGGCTTCAGAGGCTTTGGGACTATGTCTTCCTTGGAGCTGAAACCTAGAATGATCAATGTTATATATTATTAAATTTGAAGGTCAGGAAAGAGGAGACATTCACATCAAATATCAGTCTGCTAATTGAATGATGAACAAGGAAATCATGGAGATGCTTTCAGATGTTTGAAAGCACAGAAAGGGAAAATGTTTTAGACAAGAGGGAACTTCTGTCAGTGTCCAGATAAGATGGAAGAATCTGAAGAAAGCATAGGTCCAGTTGTGCCCTGGTACAACTTCCCTGGAGAGCTCCGAAAGCTTTACAGTCCAGTGTTTTCAACCTATTTTATATTCAATCCCACTTCAAGGAAACTAAGTCTCAACATGATAGAAATAAAAAGTTATGTGTGCAGGTAGTCCTTGCCTTACAATCACAATTGGGATCGGACTTTCAATTGCTAAGCAATGTGGTTGTTAAGTGAATTATCACATGATTGGACCCAATTTTACAACCATTTTACCACAGTTGTTAAGTGAGTACCTGCAGTTCTTAAGTGATTCAGTTGTTAAGGGAAACCAACTTCTCCTCTTGACTTTGCTTGTTGGAAGCCAGCTGGGCAGGTTGCAAATCAGGATCCCATGACCATAAGACACTGCAACCATTGTAAAATGCAATCACATGACCATGGAGATGATGCGATGGTTGTAACTTTGAGGACAGGTCATAAGTCACTTTTTCTGAGGGTGTTGTTACTTCAAATTGTTGTTACACAAATAAATCACAAGTCAAGGGCTAGCCGCAATACATTTTTCCCTATAAGTGAAATGTTAGAAACTTAAGCTAAAATTTCAGTGAGGTCAGATGTGTCCTAACTACACTGCTTCTGAATGCACCTCTGGCATGTTTACCACTAGTTGAGAACCAGTCCTATAGTACATGTATTGCAGTGGTGGGTTTCAATTTTTTTTACTACCGGTTCTGTGGGCGTGGCTTGGTGGGTGTGGTATGGCTTGGTGGGCAGGGGAAGGATACTGTAAAATCTTCATTCCCTCCCCACTCCAGGGAAAGGATACTGTAAAATCTCCATTTCCTCCCAATCAGCTGGGATTTGGGAGGCAGAGAATAGATGGGGGTGGGGCCAGTCAGAATTTTTACTACCAGTTCTCCGAACTACTCAAAATTTCTGCTACTGGTTCTCCAGACCTGGTCAGAACCTGCTGAAACCCACCTCTGATGTATTGCTGGATGTACAGGGCTACATTCTACATTCTTCACCTGCTGAATGAGGCTATCCCTGGAGATGCACTGGCAACACAAGTGGACAGAGAACCCCACCACCAATTAAGTGGGTCAGCCTGATGGTATCTCACAATAAGGTAAAGGTTCCCCTCGCACATACATGCTGATCGTTCCCGACTCTAGGGGGTGGTGCTCATCTCTGCTTCAAAGCCGAAGAGGCCAGTGCTATCCGAAGATGTCTCCATGGTCATGTGGCCGGCATGACTAACTGCCAAAGGCGCATGGAATGCTGTTACCTTCCCACCAAAGGTGGTCCCTATTTTTCTACTTGCATTTTTTATGTGCTTTCGAACTGCTAGGTTGGCAGAAGCTGGGACAAGTAACGGGAGCTCAACCCATGACACGGCACTAGGGATTTGAACTGCTGACTGCTGACCTTTCGATCAACAAGCTCAGCATCTTAGTCACTGAGCCACCGCATCCCACTATCTCACAATACCAACCCTTAAATGCTGCACCGCTTGCCTGTCTGTTTGCAAACTCTTGGGTCCCCTTTAAAGTGCTGACTTTACCCCTAAAAGCCTGAAGACCCCCAGAGCTTAAAAGACCATCATGGGGGAGGGAGATACACATTTTGCTACTGCAAGTTGGGAAACACAATTCTTTTTTTGAACCCCAGATAACACAGAGCATCTAATGTTCACAGGTTATTTATGCAGTTCTTATGCAGAGTTGAGATTTAAAAAAAATATACTTTCACCAACTCTGCTTGCATTATCATAGACACAGCTCTCTTTTTAAAAATGTAATTTTATGGAAAATGTTAAAAGCAAGAGCAAAAATTCATTCAAACTAAAATAGAGTAAGAAGGGGAAAAAGAAGGAAATAAAAGAGAAAGCTAAAGTGCCAAAAAAAAAAAAGGAAAGAAAAAAGGTAGAAGAAAAATAGAAAAGAAAAAACATATAAAGAAATGACTTCTTATCTTCTTTACAGCAGTTATGACTAAAATTGCAGATCCACCCCTTTCTTTAAAGCTACAACATGACTTTCTTCTTTCTATTATCTATCCTGTCTAATTGTCAAAATAATCAGTTTATTTTTTTCTGTTTTATTTTTTAAAAAGTCCACAAGTCAGCACTAAATACAGACATTGTCTTTTCTCTAATCAAAAGGTCGATCTGGCCACCTAGCAAACTTCTATCATCTTCACCAAAATCACAGACAGGGCTTCCAATGTTGTCTTGAAAGCTGGCTATGTCACCTAAGAGCCAGCAACCTCAGAAGAGGAAGGCCACCCAACGTGCATTTCTCAGAGCTGATTGAAAAGGTTGCTGTTTCCAGGGAGGCCTGCAAGTTCCCAGGCTTGCTTTAAAATGGCATTGTCAAGTCCTGAGAATCTCAGCTCATTGACGTGGGACTTTGCGGCAAGCTAATTAAGCTTTTTTCACCACCAGATCGTCACAGCTGTCTGGGCTCATTAAATCTCTATTCAGGCAGCAGTTGTCTCATACCAACTAAAAATAATTCTCTTTGAAATGATAATTGGCATGCATCAAACAATCACAGGGCCAACTTTATATTGCATTCTGGTCTCTTGGAAATCCTCCATCCTGGTAGCTCCCTCTATCTAAGATGTGAAATTCTTTTGCAATGAATCACTTTCTACCCACCATGAACTATCTGTCGGCTTCTATAGTTTATTTCCTAATTCTGACAATCTTCTAAAATGATCTGAACATCAATGGATAAAGGAACAAAACCGACAACAACCAAACACAAACACCAATTCAAGATTTTTGTTTGCTTGCATACTCTCTTTGTGTATTTCCAGCATCAGGCAGTAATTTGTAACGTGAAACTATCTCTGAAAGAAAAAAGCCTAGAATGATCTCATTTTATCTTATACACTGGATGAATTCAGCCTGTGTACCAAATGAACCCTGAAAGTATTTTTCCAGTGGGGATCCATAAATGAAAATTGATCAGCTGATCAAGAGTGTGTAGTATAAATCTAATTCAAAGCACTTCAATTTATTATTTCAAATTATCTGACATATTTGCTTATATGCCTTAATTTGCATATATTTTTATGAACTGAACGAGACACAAGACTCAAAAGAATCTTATCTCATCATCCTATGTAAGGAACTTCACCATAACAAAAAATAAATGCTTGTGTTTCCTGCACACGTGAAATATGCACCCTTGTTGTACATTCTTGCTGCTTAATAGACTTTGTGGAAAGATTTTTACCTGGGTCCAAAAGGCTTGATCCAGACTTCCACGCATCCGTTTCAGTAGCTGTTATGGACAAAAGACGAACATAATTATTATTCAAACAACCTATTTAATCTTAAAATAATGGAAAAAATATTACACCTTAAGAAGTACATGAGATCAACTTTGTAAAACAAAGTAAAAGTAAAGTAAAACAAACCCTGCCTTAAGTTTATTTTGAGAGGCATTTCTGGCTGTCACAAAAATCCTTGGAATTGTAACATGAACTTGGAGAAACAGTTTGTGGTTTTCCTGTACTAGAGGATCTTCTTCTCTTTTGCAAGTATTAAATTTTAATACTAAGATATTTGCCAAAAAATCTTTGGAAAATTTGAAGCAGTAGATTAAAATTGTAAAGAGAAACTGAGGGATGGCCTTATTTATTTTCAATGCTTGTTTGCTAAATTTTGTGGTTTTGTTCTTTTGGCTGCTCTACTTTTGCTTTCCTATGGAGTTGATTTCCTGACTTATCAACCTACTAGGGTTGACATAATTTATTATAGGTAAACTAAGGTTTAATTACTGTAAGGTTTTCAATTATTACTTCAGAGGATACTTAGTGGACAACTATAAAATTGCCTCTATATTAATATAGAGCAACTAAGATAAAGCTATTTAAATTTGGCTCAATCATATTAAACAATTTTGAAAATTTACTAGGAAGTAATAACAAGGTACTTATTCAAAAGCAAGTACTGTATATTGAGATAGTTTTACTTTTAGGAATATGAGCTCTTTCTAAGAAAAAATGTAAAATAATAAAAACTTTATCTATTTTAGAATGAAGAATAATAGTTCTGTTACTTGTGTAGCCACAAGCCTTAAAATATTTTACTGATCAGTTAATTAATAACCTTTAACATTCTCTTAATTAGAAAATCCATTGAATTAGGACATACCTTGATTCTGAGTTCTTCCTTGTGCAGCTTGAACTTGCCCTAAAATAGGAGATAGAATATTTTATTTGAAATTTCGCAAACTTTGTAAAAAGTGTTTTTTTTTAAAAAAAGGATTGATTTTACCATTTTGAAAGTTGAAAATGCTTGTGTTAATCCTTTAAACTAGAGCTGTGATGGCGCAGCAGTTACAATGCAGTATTGCAGCTAATTCTGCCGACTGTCAGGAGTTTGATCCTGACCCGTTCAAGATTAACTCAGCCTTCCATCCTTCTGAGGTCATTAAACTGAAGATCCAGATTGTTGGGGGCATTAAGTTGACTCTGTAAGCCACTTACAGAGGGTTGTAAAGCACTATAAAGCGGTATATAAGTTTAAGTGCTATTGCTATATTATAGATATAATTGAAATTTCAGTACTTTCTTCTCTAGTGAATGAAATCAATTTAAAATAGGTAGTTGGTTTTATTAATATTTGCTTTCAGGTACACCTGAGAGGGCTGTGGTTTCAGTAAAGCTGTCCTGGTACTTACTTGATGCTGATGCTGCCGCCGCCATCGCTGAATAAACTGGATGGACATTGCTAGAGCCTAAGAACGAACAAGAAAATATCTTACTACTGAGAACAAAAGCACAAGAATGGTAGTGTGTGAAACAAGCTGATGGGAGCAGCAGGGGGAAAGAGTTAAAGCATAAATATAAGCCTAGATGTCTTAGTTTTGGATATATTTTTCACTTCTTGGTGACTTCATGAACACAATCATGCAATAGTCTTAGAAACAATACAGAAGGGATGGTTGATCCCTACAGGGAAAGAAATTGTGAAGTGAAATAAGACATTGTGTTGCTAAGGGAGGTCCCCACTCAACTCCTGCTCTTGGGGTAGTCTTCTGATGAGTCCATGGATAGCACATTGTTTGGGAGTGAGCTTGATGCCAATGGCATCCATGTGAAATTCCAAATGAAAACTAAGCAAAAGAGATGGAAAAAAGAAGGAAAGTAATCTGGAAAGATGAAATGGAAGGTTGAGACTGAAGAAGTCCTGGTCTCAGGTGGTTGACAGAGCCTGCATGTTCTCCAGCACAGGGCAAGGTCACAGCTGGGAAAAGATTGATCTACTCTCACAGGAAGCTGTGCCAGAACTTTTTTCAGCTCTGTTTTCAGAAGGAGTCCTACCTCAGAATGTTCTGGCTCTGGCTCTGTTGTCCTACCTCAGAATGTTCTGGCTCTGAAAATTTTTTTTCCAAAGCAGAGCCAGAATATTCTGAGGTATGCGCATTCAGGTAAAAAATTGAGGTCTAAAAAATTGAGGTCTGCTGCATTTTATTTTGTGAAACCAACTCTCTCTCTATTGAATGCATATAAACAAACCATCAAGAATGTTAGCCTCTAGATGTTAGAGGATTGCAGTCACGATTATTAAAATCTCAATAACATCTGAAAGGCCACACATTGTCAATACTTAGGAAAAATTGTTAATTCGTGTTTATAAAAAATTAAAAGGACTATTTTATGAGGCTGATATTCTAAAGTGGGAAAAAAGGCTGGGCTGTGGAAAGCATTGATTTGCTAGTAGAGAAAGATTTGTGAAAAAGTCTAAAAGACTGCCTCTGGAAGACCTATCATCATATTCATGAAAGTCTCAGTTGCTGAATAGGTAGTCCTCGACTTACGATCACAATTGAGCCCAAAATTTATGTTGCTAAGCAAGACAATTGTAAAGTGAAGTTTACCACCATTCTAACCACAATTGTTAAGTGATTCACTGCAGTTATTAAGTTAGTAACATGGTTGCTAAGTGAATCTGGCTTCTCCATTGTCTTTGCTTGTCAGAAGGTCACAAAAGGTCCCATGACTCTGGGATACTGCAACCATCATAAATATAGTCAGTTACCAAGCATCTGAATTTTGATGTAACCAGGGAGATATTGCAACACTGTAAGTGCGGGAAATGGTCATAAGTCACTTTTTTCAGTGCTGTTGTAATTTCGATGGTCACTAAATGAACTTTTGTAAGTTGAGGACTATCTTGTGCCACAGTGTACTTCTCATTAATATTGTTTCACTAGAATAAATGGAATAAAAAAAATCAAAACAGAATTTAAAAAGAAAAAAGTGTTATGAATTCTATGAAAATTAACTTGATGGCTTTATACCTTATTTTGTTTGAACTTGGCTTATGACTACATGTAATAAACCAGGACTACATGCAAACTATTCACATCCCTGGCAGAGCTTTTTCAGATAGAACATGTAGAGCCTAGATCAGGGGTAGGCAACCTTAAACACTCAAAGAGCCACAAAGGCCCTAACCGGAAGCCCCCCATTTAATTCTGGAGTCAACCGGAAGTCTGGTTCCCCCCACCATAATGTCTCCTCCTAGCATGGCGTCCTTTTTCCTCTCCCTATCCTAACTGAAAGCCTTATCAATTGTGGAGCTGATAGGCAACAGGGAGCTGCAGTACAGGGATGAAAGAGTCACATGCGGCTCCAGAGCCGCAGGTTGCTGACCCCTCCCCTAGATCATGAAATTTTGAGCAGAGTGCAGAAAAGCACTGGATATGAATGAAGGAGCTGAGACTGAAATTAAAAAAGACAAAGACTATTAGGCATCCTAATCACGAGATGGAAGCACAGTTGTATCTAAAAAGTTTAAGCCCTCTGACCAAATAGTACATTTCGGTGTGTCCCAAAGTTTAGAAAATGAGCAAACAATGGGGCTGAGAAGAAATGGTTATATCAACCATGAAGTATCTGTATAAAAGAAGGATAGAAGTTTTGGAATGACCTTCACAGTCTCTGTTTGGAAGTCTGAAACATGTGATGTGTGCATGGAGAGCTATGAATATTTCTGAAGGAAAAGAATTGTGTAGAGTTGAAACATTTTTTAAATCCACAGTGAGGTAACATTTGGAAGAGACTCAGACATTTCTCTACTTCACTGAACTATAAGAAGTAGGAGGAGATAGAGCACCATCAGACTTGCATGGTTCTGAACAATCTTCTCTGGAGTCATCAGAAGACCACTGCTTTACATTTGAGATGAGATGATGAGATGAGAATGGTGATGAGGAGGCAGATCTAACAAATTTGTTCCATTGCCCTATCGAATTGGATTATTAAAAGCTAGATTGTGAAGCTCTTCTCGTTCCACTCACCCAGATCCCTGACCTTGTGGACTGCAATGAGAGGCTTTGCCACTGTAACAGTTGTCACTTTGGTGAAGGTCGTTGGTGCAATGGTGGTTGAAGTGACGGTTGTCTTTGGAGTTGGGCTGACAAATTCGGTTGTGGTGGTAAAGGGTTTGAATGTGTGAGCAGCACCATGTGTGGCTGGTAATGGAGCAGCAGTTGTCTGAGATCCTTTCCGTAATGAATTTCCTATATCAAGGTTGAAATATAGCATCTCACTGAAAAAAAGCACTTTCTTTAATAGCTTTGCCCTCCATATGTACCAGCTAAAATAATTAGGTTGGGTTTCAGCTGTAGTTTGGGGATGGCTGTAAATGAAGATACAATGTGATCTACATGAAAACAGCTAGAACTAAGAGGTCAGCAGTTCCCCATAAGCATGCCAACCCATGAGAAAGATGCTGTGCTCAGCAGTCCAGCAGTGAACCAGCAGATGGTTTGTGCTTTCAAAGTGTTTTGTATCAAGATTTATTTATTATTTATTTATTTATTTATTTTATTTTATTTTATTTTATTTGTATACCTCCCTTCTCCAACAGGACTCAGGGCGGTGAACAGCCACGGTAAAACACAACATATAAAATTTAAAAGCAGTTTAAAAGACATTAAATAATTTTGGCCATCAATTTAAAACAACCCAGTTAAAACCAATTACAAATTAAAGCCGCAAGGATGGGATCAAGCCAGCCCGGCTAGATGAAATAGATGTGTTTTCAGGGCCCGACGAAAAGTCCGGAGCTCTGGTATCGTGCGTATCTCTGGGGGGGGTGTAGGTCATTCCAGAGGGCAGGTGCCGCCACAGAGAAGGCTCTCCCTCTGGGGGTCGACAGCCGACATTGTCTGGCCGACGGCACCCTGAGGAGGCCCTCTCTGTGAGAGCCAACTGGCCGGTGGGAGGCTATTGGCGGCAGAAGACGGTCTCGTAGATTGCCCTTTTTAGTAAAAACAATATAATAAACAAATGTACTAGGTGTGCATATATGTAGTCAAACTGGGGCTTGAATATAAATAAGTAAAATTTAAAATAATTTAGAAAAAAAATTAATGTAATGAAAGTAATTTTGAGGGTAAAGGTTTATTCTCAGACCTTGTGGGTTGGTTTCTGAACATTTCGTTACCAGGCTAGGTCACATCTTCAGCGGAGTTTAGGGGATGTCAGAATCAGGGTTCTGTTTATAAGGGCTTAGGTGTGGATGTGTCAATTGTGACAGGTCTTGCGATGAGTCATCTGTGAATCATCTGTGAGTCATGACTCACAGCTGACTCATCACAAGATCTGCCTCAATTGACACACCCACACCTAAGGCCTTCTAAACAGAACTCTGATTCTGACATCCCCTAAAGATGTTAAAGAGGCTGAAGATGTTACCTAGCCTGGTAATGAAACTTTTGGAAACCAACCCACAAGCTCGGAGAACGAAGTTTTACCCTCATCCTACATCTGAGCTATAGATATTTGCCACTATAGCGAAGGTAATTTTACATATTTCTAGGTATTTGGGTTGGTAGGTCACTTGTCTTGTCATATCTTAGGTCCCCTGTCTTGTCTTATCATTGTTCATGATATGCATCAACAAAGCCAGAAAGACCCAAGAGAAGCAAAAATTTGCCTACTCGACATGACAAGTAGATCCTTTGTGGAATATGGGATATGATTTCCAGCTGTTTGATTAAAGAAAAAATGCTACTATGGGGTGAGATATGTAGATCCCCACTTCAACCCCTGATGTTCTCCCCCAAACTCCTCTTCAGTGTCAGTGACATATTGGAAGGTGCTGGGGAGCTGGGGAGAACATTTGAGGAGTCTGATGTAGCAGCCTTACAGGGATTCACTTGTACTAGGAAAAGTCATATTGATCCAGGCAAATGTAAAATACCTGAGTTAGTTAAAATACTAGATACATCAGACTTTTTAAAATTCCTTTGAATCATATTCAATTCTTAGAGATTGCCTGGACAAGTGCCTCCAGTTTTCATGGCAAGGTTTTTCAGAAGTGATTTGCCATTGCCTCTTTCCTAGGGCTGAGATAATGTGACTGGCCCAAGGTCACCCAGTTGGCTTTGTGCCTAGAGTGGGAGTAAAACTCAGAGTCTCCTGGTTTCTAGCCTGATACCTTAGTCACTTTGTTAAACTGTTTATCTCCCTCTGACAAAAACATACTTATTTCTTTTAAAATACATTCTCAAGGCTGGAAATATATCTTTAATTTTATACCCAAACCCTTCATTTAAAAGTTAAGTTATGATGTTGAACGAATTATGTGTTAGCCTCTGGCAAAAAAGGAAATGGGATAACATTATTGTACAGTACCATAGAAGGGCAGACTGTCTGAAATGAACTGAAATTCTCAGACCAGTCATAAAATCAATTTTTGATTAGCAGCATAGAATCTTGCAGTTTCACAAAGATGCAGTCATTTAATGCATGTTTTTGTGAAAGAAGCTTTAAGTTTATTATCTGGCAGACTGAAAGAAGAATTAGAACATAATAATAGTAGTAGTAGTAGTAGTAGTAAGTAGAATGACTGTGGCAAAAGAAAGCAAAGGTAGTATCAATATTTATTTATTTATTTATTTATTTATTTATTTATTTATTTATTTATTTATTTAGCTTATATGCTGCCCTCTCTCCGGAAAGGACTCAGGGTGGCTCACAGCAATAAAAACAGATAAAATAAATATTAAGTGTTAAAAACCATTAAAACTCCCCTTAAAAACCTTAAAAACCCTTTCAGTCCAATCCGGCCTGGCAAAATAACCATGTCTTGAGGTCACAACGGAAAGAGCACAGGTCAGGGGTCACCTGGAGCTCCAGGGGGAGTTGATTCCATAAGGTAGGTGCGCCCACAGAGAAAGCCCGTTCCCTAGGAGTCGCCAGATGACACTGCCTGGCCAATGGCACTCCAAGGAGGCCCTCCCTATGGGAACGCACCTTTGTAGTAGTAAGCACCTTAGATCAGTGGTGAAATTCAATTTCTTTTACTACCGGTTCTGTGGACGTAGCTTGGTGGGCGTGGCAGGGGAAGGATACTGAGGACCCAGTTTGTGGGGGCAATAAGCTGACTTTGTATAAATATACAAAAGTATGAAGGCTATTGCTTAACGCACTGTAAGCCGCCCTGAGTCTCCGGAGAAGGGCGGCATATAAATCAAATTAAAAAAAAAAAATCTCCCTTCCCGCCCCACTCCAGGGGAAGGATACTGCAAAATCCCCATTCCCTCCCCACTCCTAGGGAAAGGATGTTGCAAAATCTCCATTCCCACCCCACTCTGGGGCCAGTCAGAGGTGGCATTTGCCGGTTCTCCGAACTACTCAACATTTCTGCTACCAGTTCTCCAAACTACTCAAAATTTCCACTACCAGTTCTCCAGAACCTGTCAGAACTTGCTAGATTTCACCCCTGCCTTAGATGCAATTCCAAAACATCTGGAGCATAATTTGAATACCATTGGCATTGACAAAATCACTGCCAGTTTAATTGCAAGAAGCAGTTTTACTTAGAACAGCTTAAATCATTGATACCCTTAACATACTCAAAGAAGTACGTCTGCCTATCTCAGGTCCTTGGGAAGACTTCATAGTGGATAAAAATGCCAAATCCAGTCTAAACATCTGGCTGATTGCAACTAATCATAATGTCAGAAGGGGCACATTTTCCCAGTGCAATTATTAGGACCTTGACGTTGCTTTTAATAAAAGTGAATTCTGCAATTATTGGCCAAGCTTGGTGGGGTTTCAAAGAATTGCTGAAATGTATGTTTTTAATACAAAATTTAAAATGCTTCATTTTTTATTTATAGCAAGCCTTGATGTTTATCTAACTGATGTCATAGACATCAGTTGGATAAATTGTCAAAACACTTCTTTTAAAAAAAATATTCATTAGGATGAAAAAAAGGCAGCCCAGAAAAGTTGTACAATAGTGTCAAAAATAGCTCAAACACTTGCATGGCAGATATAAATGAGAACAGAATCATCACAGTGAAGATTGTTTGTGCCTGAAGATCATGCATTAAATGTTACTTCAAAACATGGTGGAAAACTCACCTCAAAAGCAGAAACCATTGGAAAGGAACCGAACAATAATTTTACAGTATTAGTTCCAAAGCTAGAAAGATATAACAAACCTCTGGTCTCTAGTACTCCAAGCAAAGATCAAGAACCACAAAATTACATGTATAACAGTGGTGGGTTGCCCCCGGTTCGCACCGGTTCTATAGAACCGATAGTAAAACTGGTGGGAGGCTCCGCCCACCGACCCCGACATCATCAGAACGCTTCTGCAGATGCGCAGAAGAGTGCGTGCGCGCGTCCCCATTGCGAACTGGTAGTAAAGGTAAGTAGAACCCTCCCCTGATGTATAAAATATTGATCACAAACAGCTGGAACATACAGATATGCTAGCAGAAGATTCCAAATATGAAATGGATTGCTTTATATTCAATAAGGAAAAAAATAAACCAAAAAGGCTAACAGGGTATCCTTGAAGCCGCAAAGTTATTAAAAGCACATTCCTAGAAATGAGATCTTGTTTCTTTGCTACATGAATTGGTTCAAGGCTGTGATGATGAGAGTAAGAGGCTGGCCCTACATTTGCAGCTGTAAGGTATGAGGAGAGGCAGAGCAACATAAATCCTTGAATTTTATTTCTCAAGGCATAAACTCTAGTCAGTTAATCATTACCAGGCACTGATTTGCACAATAATTTTTTTTAAAAAAACTTCTTAAGCCTTGTTAAGTGATGAATACAGAAAAGGGCATTAAAGAAACATTTATAGTATTATACTTGTATAAATTATCATAAATATGGTTACAAATCGATCCTGCTCAAGTTCTTAATCTAAGTAACCACAACATGGATACATATGCGGGGAAACAATAATACACCCTCTAGCAGAAAATCCATCACTTGCCTTTAGTGACTGTGCTTTCAGAAGACGAATAAGTCAGAGTTGATGGGTACTGCACACCTCTTTTGGGCTTGCCTTCTAAAGAAAACAAAACAGAAATCTTTGGTCAGTGAATAGATGATCATAAAAGCGCCTATAATTATAAGCCAGCAGGTAAGGAGTTGAGGGTTGCATCAGCTGTGCCTGATATATCAAGAACTGGGCACTCGTATTCAATGATGATGATTATGTCATACACAAAAGATATGAGCCACGGTGGCGCAGTGGTTAGAGTGCAGTACTTCTGTTGACTGCTGGCTGCCTGCAATTTGGCAGTTCAAATCTCACCAGGCTTAAGGTTGACTCAGCCTTCCATCCTTCCGAGGTGGGTAAAATGAGAACCCAAATTGTTGGGGGCAATATGCTGACTCTGCAAACAGCTTAGAGAGGGCTGTAAAGCGGTATATAAATAAATGCTATTGCTATTGCTATATCAATTATGGACTTACAATCTGGTTGGCACAAATTACATCACTGACACCATTTACACAAGAGGGCAGTTATTCCACCTTGCTTTCTTCATGATTCATGAGATCATAACCCTAAGGAATTGAAGCAAGCAGGATCAAGGAGAAGAGCCTTTTCCGCTGTGGCCCCATCCCTGTAGAACATTCTACCACTGGAGGTGAGAATTTCTCCCTCTCTTTTGGCCTTCCAGAAGGGTATAAAAACCTCGTTTTGCCAGCTGGCCTGGGGCCTCAAGAGGAGCGCTCATGACTGGAGGTGGCTGATGGAGTAAGAAGACTTTATCCCCCTTCCATCCAACTCTTAGCTCTCTTAGTTCAGTTTTAATGTAAATCTTAATAATATATATTTAACTTTGTGTTCTTTTAATATTTTAACTATTTTTAACATGTTTTATAACCTCTAAGTCGCCCAGAGTCATCTTGAAGGAGAAATGGGCAGCATAACATTTTAATAAATAAATAAATTTAATAACCTTTATATGGTTGGGTTCATCTACTATCCTAAACCAGAAACGTACATTCTAGAACTGTGTCAGAGGTGGTATTCAGTAGGTTCTGGCCAGTTCTGGAGAACCGGTAGCGGAAATTTTGAGTAGTTCGGAGAACCGGTATATACCACCTCTGATTGGCCCTGCCCCCATCTATTCTCTGCTTCCCGACTCTCAGCTGATTGGGAGGAAATGGGGATTTTGCAGTAACCTTCCCCTGGAATGGGGAGGGAATGGAGATTTTACAGTATCCTTCCCCTGCCATGCCCACTAAGCCATGCCCACCAAGCCATGCCATGCCACGCCCACCAAGCCACGTCCACAGAACTGATAGTAAAATTTTTTGAATCCCACCACTGAACTGTGTGATATCTCAATCCACCCAAGGCATCTCTAACTACAGAAGAATATTGTTGTATTTGTAGTTAGAGTATTGTGATATTTGTTATTGGACTATATATTTTTATTTATTTATTTTAAAAGACCTATAAAGCAGTCCATATTGTAATACAAACCTGGGATTCACACAAAACATTAACCCCTCCCCCAATCAGAATAAAAACTATAAAAACATATAATCCCCTGGGGCAATTCTCTCCCATATTTCCACAAATTATTAACTTGATATTAATAATTTAAATAACAAGGGGGAAACCGTTTTAGGAATGTTACTGTGACTTTTCTTGTGCATTTTTACTTAGTTTTCTGGTTCTCCCTCAATAAATGTAGCTTTATGGAGTTTAATGACTAAAAGCAAGGGCTTTAACATCCTACTTTTTCAGCTGTTTCAATTGGTTTCTTCGCATTATTTTCTTTAATCCTCTCTATATCTGGAACCAGAAATATTTCATTTTGATCATATATATTATGTATACCTATAGATCTTAATGGATATTAATTAAATGTGGTCTGTATATATACACACACACATCATCATCATATATCATCAACATCAACATCATATATAATATAGATTTATGGGCCTACTAAATATTCATCAGCCACACTGATTTGCTGCTCCCTACCTCTTGACCAGATCCTATCTGTACATTTGAATGGAAGCTGTTTTATTGACCCTCTTATTTTCCAAAGTGCTGGTTACGTAATGTTTTTATATTCTTTTAGCCATCTGTTATTATCACGAGAGAGCCAAAAATAAAAGTCAATTTGCTGGAGTCCGTTTACTGAAGAAGCTGCTAAGAAAAGTAAATGTGCCTATTGCACTAGGTTTTTCTTTTTTTAATGGAAACTAAAAATAGTCACATGCTTGTTTCAATTTTCTAAACTCATCTGGAAGGCACTCATCATCTCCAAAGTTAAGTTTAATATTTGGAAATGTTTTGTCTTGAATACTGAGCTCATACAGTCTTAATTTAACTCCCAATTTATGTGTTTAAGAAAGGTCAGCTCCAGATTTATATCGATGATATGCTATGCCAATGCTATGATTTCTCATAATAGCTTATTATAAGCTATCTTATTTTCACTGTGATCTGGCATATCATTCAAACCCAAATCCAGGGCCTAATGTAAGGTTAAATGGTTTAGTCCTCAATAAAAAATAATAATAAAAGGAGCTGGTGATACAAGAGCAGCCGGGAAGTGTACAGATCTTCACTGGCAGGTTTAAAGCTCGGGTAGATAATGGAACAACCATCTTGGTCAAACCATGGTTGCCACCTTTGAAGGGACATTAACTTCACATACTTCCTTTTCTAATCACTTTCAGGAATTGCTTGTTAACTGCTTTGCAGCTATTAGGAATCTTCAGATCAAAAAGTTTTACAACACTAGGTGAGTTTTCCTTCAATCCTTAGTGGAATACATTTCTACTACAAATTTATTTTTTTTTCCAAATAAAAGGAAAATCGTCCAAGTAAAAGTGTGAGTCAAACTCTGATTTTAGAAAGATACAAATGAACTAAGATAAATTAGAGATAAGATTTTGGAATTAATTACAAAGATTTTTTTTCTGTGGGAAAATGATTTTGTTTTGATTTTTAGAAAACAGATTTTAAAAATTGGACACTAGTGGTGTTAGAAGAAACTAAAGATTTCAATTAAAGGAGAAGTATATTTAAACTAGATTTACAATTATGAAACAAAATATAATAACATTGGACATATTGATGGATGTTTTGAATAATATATTCAGAAGTTAGTTATAATAGTGTCTGCCTATTATATTGCCAATATGTCTTCTGATTAAAATTCTGCACTGGTATTCCTGGCTGGAGAGTAGTAAACAAAAAATTTAAGGGATGTTTTTGTCATGAGATCGAATTGTAAAAAGAAATCAAGATAATTTAAGACAGACATATTTAGAAGTAGAATTTGTGTAAAGAGGTTAAATAATGTAGAATGCTGATGCAGAAAAGTTGTTATTAGTATTGAAATTTTGATATGTTTGTCTTTGGTTGTTTATATTTTTTGTTTTTTGTTTGTGTGTGTGTGGTTTTTTTCTTGCTTTTTTGTGTATTATGTTTCTTTTTGTACTGTGTATTTTAATCTTTGGAAATTTAATAAATATTATTTTTTTTTTAAAAAATCTGCACTCTTTTTAAGTCATGTTTAGTAATTCAATAACAGATATTGCAGAAGGAATTAAATTGTTTGAGCTTTTTTATTGCCATTTTTTTTCTATTACCTTTTTTCTTCCTTTACATTTCTTTCTGTCTTATAGCTTTTCTATTTGGAAATGCAGTGATGTAATTTTGCAGTGGAAGTTTTACTGTATTAAAACTGGAGGTTTCCCTGCACCCTTCTGCTTCTTAATAATGAAGCAGACTTATTTGAAACCAATCTTATTGACCTTTGGAGAGATCCAGGATTTGTTGATTTAAATTTCATTTACTTTTTCACATCAAAATCTCTACACACAACAAAATGTTTACCTTGCTGTTCTTACATTAGATATAAATATATCTTACATCTGGAAAAAGACTACTTTTCTTTAGCCCTTAATTTAGCCCTTCTTTGCTAAATTCACTTAAAATAAATGTTATGTAGTAAAAACAGCTGCTAATGTCATATAAACCATATGCAATTTATTCATGGTGAAGTTTTGCTTGAAAGTCCAAAACAAAATGCTGAACTTTTGCTATTTATATGAATAAATGCTAATAGTGAATATAAATATCATCACATTTCTTATTGCTTTGATGAGCAGTAAAAATAGATCTCTATATTTGAAAATAACCCTAAAAGAAAATATTGGTAGTTGTCAAAATAATATCCTAATATTCCATATATAACATGCTTTATGCTTTGTTGTATCAACTTCTGGCTTTTACTAATTTTATAATTTCAACAAGAGCAAAACTGTCTCTGATTTCCAACTAAAAACAATTACATCCTTTCTTGAGTGATTACTGTATAGCATTTAATTGCTACCTTTCACATCAGAGTTTCTCAGAGTTTCTTAGGTTTTTAAATAATGAGAAATGACATATAGGAAGGGGAAAGGGAAAGAAAGGAAGAAATTTACCTGAAAGTATGAAGGATTCCCTCCATCGTGGTAATGAAAGTGAGCGGATTCCATTGGAAAAACTACCCTTGTACCCAGACTGACCAGCAACTTTTTGAACTAAGACTTTTCCTCCAGAGTTGTCAATAATTCCACTGTAAAAGTAACACATTAATGTCATAAGCACATTGTTAACTTACCAGAGCTCTAAGTGATCGTTGAATTACAAGCTCAATACATATAAATTCAGTCCACTTGGAAGAACTGTTTCCAGCCCTTTCCTTTATGTGGAACATTATTACATCATCTTCTGGAGGTCTTCATTGAAACCAGGCAGTGACAGCATTGTGCTCTAGATGCTATGGCATATATGATTTTTTTCAGACGGCCTCCACATGATTCTAATATTAATTGTTTTTTTGAACTGGGTTTGTCCTTCTTTCAAGTGCACTGAATTGTATATTAACTCCCCTATGCAATCCTGAATCCATTTGACAAAGTACTTGATAGTACTTGCCAGGCTCAAGGTGGACTCAGCCTTCCATCCTTTCTAAGGTAGGTAAATTGAGGACCCAGTTTGTGGGGGCAATAAGCTGACTTTGTAAAAACATACAAAAGTATGAAGGCTATTGCTTAACGCATTGTAAGCTGCCCTGAGTCTCCGGAGAAGGGCGGCATATAAATCAAATTAAAAAAAAATAATTCTAAGCCTAAGAATCATTCTATAGTCAGACTATATCAAAATGAAACTCTCTGTTCTAAGTATTAGTAGACATTTAGATAAGTTAAGCCTAATGTGTAAGAAGATGGTTCTGTGATTCCCTGAAAGATATCTTCTACCCTGGCATTTCCAAAAAGTTATCATTGATCATATCCCAGAGGGAAGGGTCTATTGCCATTTCCCAGTATAAATTTGTGGAAGTATCATCGATCGATTTTTATCTGTGTAATTTTGTCAGATCTACAGTTATTTCCCTCATAAATCCATACCCAAATCATTTTGTAAAGTTGCCCTTTTGCTTAAGTGGAATTAAAGAAGACCTATTTTCCATCCCCTAAATATACATTAAGATACACTAACCTGAATTCTACTCACGATCATAGTTTTTACAGACTTGACTGTAGGCTACCTTTTATTTCCTAATCTTATTTTTCCTATCTTTTGAGAGTTATACAAAATTTTTGGTGAGGAAAAAAGAAACACACCCCATTATGACTCTTACATTGAGCATGCTGATATCTTTCTTTTTTATTTTGGATGCTATTTTGAATTAAACATCAGTTCTGCTGACCTGTGAATAGCAGCAGCACAAACACTGGAAAAAGAGGCATAGATATCAGTGCCATAAACTCGATATTTAACATCCTGACATCCCAAGGGACACTTAGCAATAAATTCTGGGTTGATGATCTTTGCAGCTTTGATGGCACACTCAATCTGTGGAACAGCTGTGAAGATAAAAGTTGAATGTTATGCTTTAATATAATCTGACACAAAAGCTTTGCAGAAAACAAAGAAATGGTAGGAATTGGCTCTACACTTCATGTGCTTTTATGCCAGTTTTAAAATACTCAGATATTCAACACTGAACCCTTAATCCTTAAAAATTAAAAATAATAAAACTCCCAACTGCAGGGTATCTCCAATGAGTTTACTCTTTCACACCCCAGTTCCAAATGGCCTAATATGCAGTGGAATAAGGTAATAATCACATCCATATTATTGATTTCACATCAAAACAATAATATTTGAATTATGCATTTAATTCCATATATAATTGCTATAATCCAGCAATTTGGTATAAATTCTTCAGATCTGCTCTTTTAGCTTTTCAAATAACATTGGGATTTCAACTCCCACAATTGCATACCATTAGTTTAGGAATTCAAAGAGTTGTCATCCAACTCTTCCAGATAGATTCTAGGATCCAGGTTATTACAGAAATATGACCAAAGTCTTCATATAAACTATTTCATAAAGAGAGAAATAATCTGATTTGACTTTGCATTAGAGATCACTATGCAGTTTCTTATTCTGCAGTTATTATGTTGAAGAGTGGAAATATAGCTAATGCTATAATTATTAGCTTCCAAGAAAAACAATATTTTATAAGCATATTAGTTTAGCTAAGACATTGTCTTAGCTATTCAGTTAGCTGAAGAGAAACTTGGGTTGGATCTATGTGGGCTTTATATCAGTTTCTTGTGGAATGTACATAGTCATCTTAATCTTCCTGACTTTGATTTCCTTCCAAATGAAAATGTTGGGTTAATGTTTGTTTGGTTTTTGTCTTAATCCCCTGAAAAACATTTCACTGTCATTTGAGAGAGAGAATGTCAAGTTTTCAAGTGAAAATACGAATGGACAAAAGTTATTCAGGATCCAATCTGAATCGGTCACTGGGACCAGAGGTTTAGTTTTTCAAGCTTTTGGACTCATGTTGGAGCCCATCTGCATGGAACTTCTCTCAAGCAGGTCTCTGTAACTTCTCTAAATTCTCTCTAGCAAAGATGCTCAAGATGCTATTGATGAAATTTTGAAAGATTTAGCAAACATGTGAGAGTTCAGGAATGTTGCTGTTGATGATGATTTTAAGCCTATATCACTGCACAATGCAGCACCTGAAAATATTAAGCCCTGTTTAATTCAGATTGCTAGCTTTCCATGGTTTCTGGCAATGGTTTTTCCAATCTAGCTAGGGATGCTGAGATTGAACATGAGATCTTTGACATACAAATCGTATGTTCTGCCATTGCATTATGACTGCATCTCTACATGCAGAAGGTGGTAAGTTCTGTCTTTATCTTTCCAAATATAATGTTGAGTAACTGCCTGTAGACTAGTTAGAGACATTTGACATATAGATTAGGGCCTATCTGATTTATAGTCTTTCTAATGTTGATATTTATATAGATAAGAAAAGTTTAGGTGATTTTTATCCTTTCCTCTTTCAGATGTGTTGACAGTTTAGGAGTTGCCAGAAATAACATTCCATTTCCTACATTTGGCATTACTTCCAGCCTAACATTGCTTCATAATTAAACCATCAGTTCCATGCATATTTATCAACTCTACCATACAGGATCAGGCCACTTTGTATTACATCCTTCTTCCTTCTCTCAGCAGCCATTTTTCTTTCTTCTTTCATTTTATTCATTAATTCATGCTCTTTGCCATGTACAACTTTCACATGCAAACTGAAATTTTCTATATGTCGTAATTGTTAATAGATGGGGCCTTGAATATTCACTGCATCAGTAATGGCTTTATTCTACCAAGCATAAGTAAAGCCTTTGTGGTTCCAATAAATTTTCCAACAAGGAAACTCAATTTGGGAAGTTGGATATGTTTAAAAACCATGTGACCACAGCATTTGCTTAAATAAAAGTGGTTGTAAAATTGATGACTAGCTTAACAAATGAATTGCTTAGTGACCAAGATTCTGGTCCCAATTGTCATCATAGGCTGAGGATTACCTCTGGTGAATTTGCTGTTGTAAATTAAATTTGATTAGTTTTCTTCCCCCATCCCTTGCCCAGACTCATCTTGTCATGTGTCTTTATTTTGCTCACAATTATTACATCTTTCCTGAACATTAAATAATATTATTTGCTCTGAAGGAAGCAACAAGGAGCATCTGGCACACAAAAAGAATTTCAGAGTAAATTATGCATTAGAAACAAAAGCAGCCTTGAGCTTGTTTGGAGGTTCTAGCAGGGGAGCGCAGCTATCGTATACCCTTGACCGAAGATCGGTACACTCCTTCTATCTGGGATGGTCGTCCTCTTCCACCGAGCGCGCAGCTTCGGGAGGGACGCACATGGAGCGGTGAGGGAGGAAGGGGACACCCGCCTAGCCAGCCAGATCAGCCGAATCAACCCTGGCGATCAATGGGGTGACAGATGTCGCAGCCAGATCGCCCTCACATCCTGGAAAAGTGGGGAAGACTACAGATATCATTATTAGGCAGAATCGCGGCAATAAAAATGAGCATATTACCCAAGTTATTGTATCTATTCCGAACGGTCCCTGTTAAATTAGATAAAAAATTCTTTCTGGAGCTCAATAGCATCATCAGGAAATTTATTTGGGAGGGAAAGAAACCAAGGATAGCGATTAGGAATTTACAGGACAAGAAGGAAAGAGGGGGTTTCGGATTACCTAAATGGGAGTTATATCAAAAAGCTGCAAACCTAGTATGGCTGAAAGAATGGGCAACCCTAAGAAATAAAAGACTGTTAACTCTAGAAGGGTATGATCTCCAGAAGGGGTGGCATGCATATCTCTGGGATACTGGGAAGAAGATAAAAACTTACTTCCATAGACATAAAATAAGGGAGATCTTGATACAAATATGGGGAGAGATGAGACAGAAGCACTATAGGAAAATTCCGAGATGGCTTTCCACCATGGAGGCTATAATATATCCAAATGTATTAGAAATGGGTAAAACGTTCAGATACAATGAATTATTAGATGGGGGAGGGAACCTTAAAACAAGGGAAGAATTGATGGAACAAGGTATTTCTATAGACTGGTGGCCATATAACCAAATTAAATCCAGATATAAAAAAGATAAGGAGGAATTCGGCATTGAAATGAGCATAAATGGATTTGATAAGATATGGATGGGTACGGACGACAAAATTTTAGCTAAATTATATAATTATTTATTGGAGTATGATATGGCAGAGGAAGTAGTTAAAGAACCGATGTTAGCATGGGCCAAAAATATAGGACAGAATATAAATTTGAACGAATGGGATTCAATATGGAATAACAACCTTAAAATGACAAAGGCGACGGCTTATAAGGAAAACCAATACAAGCTGTTTTATAGATGGCATATGGCCCCAGCCAGGATAGCGAAGATCTACCCCAATTCGAGCCCTAAATGTTGGAAATGTGACCATCAGCAGGGTACTTTTTATCATTGCTGGTGGACATGTAATCAGGCACAAAAATTCTGGAGGATGATATGGGTATGGATTAGAGAAATAATAAAAGAAAATTTTGATTTTGACCCAAAAGCTTTTCTCCTGGGAATTTTGAAAACTGAATATGCAAAAAAGAAAAAGTATTTAATTATACATATTCTGACAGCCGCTAGAATTTCCTTTGCCCAGTATTGGAAAGAAAAACAAATACCACCTCAAGAACATGTTATTGGAAAAATATTGGAGTGCGCCGAAATGAACAAATTGACTTCAGAAATTAATGACAGAGAAGATTCAGAATTTTATAGCGTGTGGGACATGTGGTACGAATGGATGGGGGAAAGAAATAAAGAAGGTAATAGAGATTAAATTTTAACTAATTAACAAAATCTATATGAATAGTATTAGATTTAGTCTTAGGGAGTTGAGCACTATTATTTTTAAATGTTTGAAATTAAATCTAGCTCCAAGAAACAATATCAACAAAAGACAAGCAATAATGTATGCAGATGTATATATGTATATAACTGCACCAATGAACCGAAAATGTACCGATTGTATTACTATATGTTATAATAAAATCAAATTCAAAAAAAAAAAAAAAAAGAAACAAAAGCAGCATGCAGCAGTCTGGACAGGGGTGGGAAACAGTTTAAGTAGGAATAGTTTAGCTGAGAATTATGATTACTGTTAATGGAAGATATTGGAGGCTACATCATTTGTACAGAATGTACAAATATTCTCCAAGTATTCTTGGAGCCAGTTTTCCAATATCTTTCACAAAAGACATGAAAGAGAGTCTAAACTGAGATTACACTTTTACATCATTTGTTTACTTACATTGTTTGGATTTCCTGTTCTTCTTTGTAGCTTCTTTAGTAGCATATACACAAGTCAGCAGTAAAACTAAGGCAAAATAGATAAATGTAAAAAAAATGTACAATACGGTCTCCCATGAAATTAAAAATTCTTGGGCTGAATGATTTTCTGGGATTATTTATAGTTTTCTTTCAATTCTATAAGTGAAATGATAAGATTTTCTTTCTTTTTTTTTTAAAAAAAAGATTTTTATTAATTTTTCAATAAACATGAAACCAAAAATGTACATACAAAAATACATACAAAAACAGAAAAAAAGAATACAAGGAATACAAAAAGAGAAAAAAGAAAGAAAGAGAGAAAGAGAGAAAGAGAAAGAGAAAGAGAAAGAGAAAGAGAAGAAAAGGAGAGAAAAGGAGAGGGAAAAAAGGGGGGGAAAGGGATTTTTTTTTTTTTGCAGAACTGTGTCCATTTGCAAACCTTATCCTTATAGAATACTTATAGTCTATATATTTTACTTCATCAACTTTTGTTATATCTGAAATAATAAGATTTTCTATTAATGTTGTCATTGCCTCAGGTTTTTTTATGTTTGATTTTCACATTTCCTGATGTTACTACTTTAATTACAAATTTTCAGAGACTCTTTGATTTATCTGCCTGACTTAATTTTATCTAAAACTATGGGGTAACAAATAAAGCAGAGATTAAAAAATAGGATGCACCTACCAAAGACCACTGCCACTGTTGTTATTCTCTTCATCCTGAGAGAAACTGGACCTTAGAATTCTAACAGAATTCACTGTAAAACAGAAATCCTGATTATTATAAATTATAAAATTATTTTTATAATTTTATTTATTTATTTATTCGCTTCAGTTTTGAAGTTACCCAACTGCATAGCAAATCAGAGGGGTTTATAGATTAAACAAACTATTGAGGAGAAAAAGAAGCCAGTTGATTAGAAAACAAAGCCAAGCAGCCAATGCCTATCCTAATTCAGAACTTAGAAGAACAATGAGATCTTAGGCAGTTTGCAAAAAATCAAAAGATGGAAACACTTCAAATCATTCCACAGACATGAACCATCATTAAGAAGGCATACTTCCTAGGTCCTATAAAATGACACTGTTTAATAGATGGCACCCAGAACCACTAATCCCATACTGAATCCCAGTCTCAATCATGACTGAAACACGTTTAGATAATCTGCTACTGCAAGGGTCCTCAGGAATTTTGGCCAAGTTTTATCCCACCTTTCCTGTACAACCAAAGCCAATATACTGTATATTATGTCCTCAAGCCAGTGTACACAATGTTCTGTCCTTCAATTTCCCTCAACAACTGATTGATCTGAGGATTACTCAGTGGCTTTCAGGGCTAAGAATGGGCTCTTTCAGGTCTTGATCCACTACTTTCATAATTATACTTTTTTTAAAAAAAGCGGTTTGCCTTTTAATTCCTATAATTGCCTGACCCAGCTAATGTCATTTAAATAAATTGGACCTCGTTTCCACACCATTTTCAGCCAGGCTTGTTCATATGTACTTACTTATCACACAATGCAATGAGATTTTGGAAACACCATGTCACCCATTGGCCCCAATAATCCAATGAAGTAGACAAGTTTCAAGCAAATATTTAAATTTACTTTTTGCTAGTCTCTGTATTGCAAACAAGCTTTTGGATCAGAATACTTTTCAATGGAACCGACTGTACTTACCCAGTGCGCTGTAGGATACAGAAGTAAGACGTGAGACAAAGACAAGGAAACAGCATACATTTAATGTCAAAAGTCAGATAATGATGTGGAAATGTTTTTCTGAAGTTTACATTTTCCAAAAAGGAGGTTAAGAGACCAGAAAATAAAGGAAGGATAAGCTGTTAAAAAGAAAGGCAGGAGAAAAAATAGAGGTAGAAGAGAAAAGGGGGAGGGAAATTTAATAAAAACCAGGGCAAGGAAGAAGAAACAGATATGAGTGTAGAATAAAGTCAGCTGAATATTTTATAGGCTGGGAAAAAACGCCTGGAATGTTAATCAGCTGACTGGTCTCTACCTAGATCCCATGCCTGCTTTGAACAGAATTTCTCCCCATCTCTTTGGCTTTGCTCTTTCCTTTACTTATTTTTCACTTTGTTTTTGAAAACATGACATTCCTTTAAGATATCAGGGACCAGATAAGCATGCCAGATGATGGGATTTGGAAAAGACAGCATCTGGGTTAGCAGAGCAATTTACAACTGATGGGATGTGTACAAACACTAAGCCAAAATCAAACAAATCAGATTATATTAAGACTACCGTATATGACCCAATGAAACCTTTCATTTCAAGATGTTGGCCAAGAGTGTTTTCAGCAACAAGTGCTTGTCTGACTTTTGCCATGTAGTGGTTGGTCTGACTTTTGCAGTCTAGATTATGACTGTGTGATATGCAAGCATAGCCAATAGTTATGCCATGATGGGGTGAAGAGAGATGCTGATATTTTTACAGTGTTGATGCTTTATTAATTAAGTCTGCTTGAATAACTCGAGGCTAAATTATACAATGAAGAACGAAGAGAAGTAGTTATGCTTAGCCTAATGAAGAAAAGGCTTGGGGGTGAACTAGAAGACCTCCAAAATTCCTTCCAGCCCTATGATTCTATAAATTTGCATATATTGATCTAGATTCTGGTGGATTTATTTGGTTGGTGGATGAATATAAGTTTTATTAGGGCCTCAATATTGCTTATTGTTTATTATTTTAAATAGCCTTTTTATTGTATTGTGTTTTTATTTTGTTTGCCATCAAGAGTTCATTCTGATAGATGGGCAGCAATGAAATTTGTTTAAGAAATAAGTAAATAAATAAACAAATAAATAGATTTCAATTCTATCTTACATATGTTGGTCTAGATTTTATCTTCAAATTATAACTAAATGCATTTTATTCATTAATATTGTGTCTAAATAATTTTTATTTATTTATTTTATTTTTGCAATTTATATGCCGCCATTCTCCCGAAGGACTCAGGGCGGCTTACAACAACAATCAATAATACAAATCACAAAATAACAAAATAAGTTAAAAACTCCTTAAAAACCATATTTAAAATTATTACAGTTTGTGCAACCCCTAGCAGATCAAGTTATTTGACGGAAGAGCCACGTCTTCAGTTCGCGGCGAAAGGAGAGGAGGTCCGGGGCTATCCTGAGCTCAGTGGGCAAATCATTCCAGAGGGTCGGCGCTCCAACAGAGAATGCTCTCCCCCTGGGGGCCGCCAGTTGACATTGTTTGGCCGATGGCACCCTGAGGAGGCCTGCTCTGTGAGAGTGCACAGAGTGGTGGGAGGAAGGCAGAAAATGGTCCTGCAGGTACCACAGGCCTAAGCCATGTAGGGCTTTATAGGTAAGCACCAGCACCTTGAAACGGACCCAGAGAGCAACCGGCAGCCAGTGCAGCTCGCGCAGGAGAGGTGTTGCACGGGAGTAACGAGGAACTCCTGTAACTACCTGCGCAACCGCATTCTGGACCAGCTGGAGCCTCTGGATGCATCCCAAGGGCAGTCCCATGTAGAGGGCGTTGCAGTAATCCAACCGAGAAATAACAAGGGTGTGGGTGACCATGGCGAGGAAAGGGCACAACTGGCGCACAAGATGTACTTGTGCGAAGGCCCCCCTTGTTATGGCAGTCAGATGGGCATCCATGGACAGCCAAGAATCCAGGAGGACACCCAGATTGTGAACCCTAGCGGAGAGGGTAAGGGTCTCCCCTCCTATCACTAAAGATGGTACCTCTAGATCCTGAGATGCCGGCATCCACAGCCACTCAGTCTTGGATGGGTTGAGTCTGAGTCTATTCCTACCCATCCAAGCCTGCACCGCCTCCAGGCAACAATTTTAAAAGTTATAAGGATATAAATAATGTTAATTAGCATTCATCTTTCTGCTTTATGCATGATTATGTCTGCCAGTTCTTTGAGATTCAATATATTATAACTATAATATATGTTTAGAGCTAGTCATGAATGCTTTTTCAAAAAAGGGTGGTGGGAATTAAACATCTGTGGAAGAAAGAATGCCAGCTAGGACTCTATTTTGTTTTCTCTTATGCAATAAATATTGAAATCCAATAAAATGTTATGTTCTTAGTTGCTATTCATGTCTCACATTCCAAGTAAAATAGACACTTCTAGAATTTCAACGATCATAGCACCTCTGTGCAGATTACTTTAACTATTTCAGCAATCCCTAAATTTTGGAATGACCTTCCCCAAACAGGTACCCTTAAAATGGACTTAAATCCTCAATTTACCAAGCAGCTTGACCAATGAGATACTAGGAGTTGTAGTTCTAGTCCTAAAAATAACTGGAGGGCATAAATGAAGGCAGATGTAGATTGTGTGAGACCATAGAGATTCAAACAATGGGTGAGCCATAAATCCTCTCATGTGCAATTCCCTTAAAACCTAGAATGGTTGTCGTTTTAAATAGAAGCTATTTACCTTCCATTGTGGCATCACATATACAGACTCATTTTTTTTCTTTCCTAAAATAAGATGGGGAAATGTCTTTTGAAGAACATTTGAAGAAAATAACTCTTTCAAGCTACACCAAATAACCATCCATTTAAAGCATAGTATTATTTGCAGACTGACTTTTGTTATTCTCTTTGATGAAGGTGCAGAATTAAAGAGCTTCTATCAATAACTTGCTTAATCATAGTCCTCATGAACATTTGAGAAGTGCAGGTTCTCAATGCTTGATTCCGCTTGTGGATTACATGGGCAAACAGAAATTCTTCATGTGCCATTATGGGATTAACCTGGCCAATCTAAGTGGTTTCTTACCACTAATCTTCTGTAGAAATCAGCTCACACACAGTTTCTTTTTACCTCTTAACAGATTGTTGGCATATTTACTGCGGTAAAAGCATAGCAAACATTAAGGGGTTTATGATGTTTTAAAAATAAATTGAGGAGTGGTTAATGGCAAACACTGTTATATACAGCATTTCACTGATGAACTAGAGATAAAGTAGTCTACCTTTTGACCCAGTGATCTGCCCAGGAAACAAAGGCAACCACCCATATATCATGCCCGCCAGGGCTTGAAAATATTTTTAGAAGTTGTGCAACATATATAGATGATATGGAAATGATCCTGGGAATTCCAAGATGTCAGGCCTGTCTTAAATCCTGTCATGGACAAGTTTAAATAAACATTGGCACTTTATATACATAGAATAAAGGAGGAGTTTCCTCAAATCCTTGTGGACCTTGTATGTTGAGTTCAGCAAGACCGCCATGGTGCAGAAAAAACCCTATGTGGAAAATAGCATTTTAATTGTTCCACTTTATCCCTTCTGTTCCACTGAAATGTATACGCTAGGAGTGCCTGCTATTTGAAAGATCATAACTGCCTCATTTCCCCCCCAGTTAATTCAGTCTTAATTTGAATACCTATATTGCTGTTAGAGGCCTCTCTAAAAGCATTTTTCTCCAGGCAATGAAGATTTAGTGAAGTTCTCTCCCTCTCTCTCCCTCCTCCTCCTCCCCCCCGTCTTAATTTAATAAAACAGAACAAAGAAATGCATTGCTTTGATTTACCATACTCTTTGCCATTTTACTTTGGCAAGACCTCAAGGATATCTAACAAAGTTTAGAAACAAAGCAGATTATAACAATAAAACAGGGAGCAAATGATGGGGAATGAGATGTGTGTTTATAAAGATTATTCAAACACTGAACGGATAAGGGGGCAATCCAATTTCACCAAACTTCAGGGACTACCTTATTCAAAAAGATTCTTTTCTCTCCATCCTATGTGACTTTCTAGGATGGACTTTCCTCACTCAGTATCCCACCCACCCATGGGAAGTTAGATCAGGACCCAAAGATAGCCCTTTTCCCTGGTGGCCCCAGCCCTATGGAAAACCTTGCCCCAGTGATACACACAGTCCTACACTTCTTGCATTTCTGAAGAGAGTAAAAACCATACTTTTCAAAAAGCATTTATTTCCATGTATTTCTCATTGGATGTCTTCTAGCAATATTCCATGAGTTATGCATGCCATGGGGTTTTAAGTTGCAGGATTGATGATCTATTGATGATGTATTGTATACCACCCTGAAGTTTACAAGAAAGCAGTATAAAAACCTAATGAATAAATTCTAAGGGAGTGTGTTCCATAGCTTGGAGCAATGTAGCAGAAAGTTATTTTCCATAAGCCAGAAAACAGACCTCTGATTGAAGGGGCATAATCAAAAGGACTTCTCTGCAGATTTAGCCAGCCAGATGGTTTAGTAATAAAAAAGGTGATCCACTTGATTCTCAGGCCTTAAGACTGTTAGGCCTGAATTCCAATGCATAATAATAATATAGGCAATATATTATTCTGGTACTTTGTACTGGCTAGCAGCTTAAGTTCCCTGTTTTTTGAATCCATAGTATAGTTCATATATCAAGATGAAACATGGTTTATTTGTACAGACATCTTGTTAGCCTTTGCATGACCTGATTCACTCCTCCATTTCCTAGATCATGATAAATATAGCCCATCATTATGTCCAAATTAGGTAAGCTATGGTTATGTAAGTCATCAGTTTGTCTCTGAGCCACAACCTGAAACCTATTTTAACCTGTGGTTTCCAATTCTGGGTGCATAGCAAACAATACTTTATAGAAATTGCTCTTTGTGATTCAGATTGAGTGGCAAGCTACATTTATCACGAACCATGAAATGAGGGATGAGTGTAGAATACACAATGAATGAGCGGCCTGAGTGGCTTTAAAAACCAAGCTGTAGATTGGCCATGATAATAAACTTAATAATTAAGTTACAACTGCACCCAATTCATCACTAGCAAATTAAGTCAGCTCCTGTTCCCCTGGACCAATCACTTCTTACATTTACTACTGATTCTTACTTCAGTATAAATCCGTTTACTAAAAAGTAATTTTCACTTATTTCAGTGGGGTTTTTTTAAATTGTCTGAGTAGATAAATAAGCATAAAGAAAAAGCTCTTGTTAAGAGATCATTGTTGAAGCAATCTTTCCCCACCTGATCTCTCTGCACTCTCTTTTGGTGAACCTCCTTTAAATATCGCTTATAGTTCCTGCCACAGCATAATAGCAGTGGATTATTATGCATTCTCTGAGGAGCTTTTAGAGAGCTGCTGACCAGTTCCTAGAGGATTGTCACCATGAAGCTGTGACCTATGGAAAATTTGCATTACCATTTTGTTTGAGAGCTTAGTTAGGGACCCAAATATAGTGGCCTGTTTTTACAATTGTAGTAGAGATGATCCTGCAGTTCCTGCTCAGCTTTTCAAAGTCTACTAAATTTTCTACCCAAAATGTATCATAGCAATGCACAGTTTACTATCTTGCTCCCATCATTTCACATAAGGGTCAGTAGTAAAAGGTAAGGTGATGCAAGCATCACGCTTGATGGAATTAAATGTAAAATTCAAATAATCTCACATAGGGTGGCAAGTATCCCCAGACTTTATAATTTAAAGAATCAATGATGCGTTTTATAGAGCTCTTCTCTGATACCTTGATGGCTTTTTTTTCTTTTGTCTCATCAAATCTTTTACAAAAGGATGCATGGATAGCAAATTCTATCCCACTTTCCTGTTTCAGTAATGCATCTGGGATTGGATTTTTGGAACTGAATCCCAGGAACACCAGTTTAAGCAGGTGGTAATGTGCTCATGAACCAGAATGGGCCTCCCAAGGTGAGTTAGGGCTGTTTCTTCTAGCATACTGTCTTATCTTTAAGGATATTTAAAAGTAAGGGGGCAGCAGCTATCCAGATAAGGGCTTGATTAAAAAACCTCATTTGTAATGTTTTACATTTAAAAACTCTGCTTGCTATTTTTAAGAATTTAAGTGAGGTTACAATGAGAAAATGCACATATTCAGAGTGGATTTTTTTGCATTAAAATTAATGCTTGACAAGCATTTGCTGTTGTGTTTAAATTATCGTGAATGTAGAAGAGAATTATAGAGGAAAGGAGAAGAGCAGAATTTATTATGTGCTTTACAAGATGATTGCCATGTTATAAATAGATCCCCAGTTAGAGCATTAAATCCAACTTCTAAAATTAAAATTGGTCTGCCATTGGTGACCTGTATACAGCAGAGGATACTCATAAACTGGTTGATGGATAACAAGGGCTTTTACTGGTTTGTGAACTTGATCATTTTTAGATCAGCAAATCTCCATGTTGCCTGATCATTGCAATGAGGCTAACATAATAATATCTGCATCATGACAGCCATAAAAATATTTCTGTACTATCATTCATAACACAAGCTAATGCTTGTGTTATGAATGATAGTATCTACCCTGTTTCCCCTAAAATAAGACATCCTCCGATAATAAGCCCAATCGGGCTTTTGAGCGCATGCACTAAAATAAACCCCCTCCCCGAAAATATTTAAACACACTCGCAGCAGGTCCCCGCCATTTCCTCTGGTTTCTTCCATGTGCCCCAAAATAATAAGACCTTCCTGTAAATAAGGCCAAGCGCTTATTTCGGGGTTCAAAAAAATATAAGACAGGGTCTTATTTTCGGGGAAACACGGTAGTCAATTGTTTCTGTCAGGCTCTGTTTGATTTTCTTCAATTTTTTATATATGGGCTTTGTTCTTTAATTACTCTTTAATATTTAAACTTTAACACCGTTATTAATCCTGCTAATAAGCTGTCTGATTTTACTTCATCAACTGTTGAATGATTTGATTTGAAGCCCAGGTTATGCTCAGTGATTTTATCCAGCTTCATAATTCAGAGGCACCATTTTGTTGTTGTTATTCAACTTTATTGATAGTCCACCTTTCCAAACAATAGATTCCAACTGGGGAAATGAAGCCATGGCAATACATACCCTTGTTCTCTATGGAAAGTTTCTGCATTTTATTATTTTGATAAAAGTTGTCATAGTCTTTCTCCTAAGTAGCCAAAGTTTCTTAGTTTTATAGCCATTTTATGAAATGTTGAACCAAGGAGGATAAAGTCTGTTATTGTTTCAGTTAGGCTGGCATTACCTGTGGACATAACCTTAAATGTTTTGTTTAAAAAAGATGTCAGGCAATAGATATTTCTTCTTTCTCCTACAACAGGATTCCTTAAATGTTCTCCTGTCATCTATCCAAGGTGTCACTAGCTTATGTGAGATTCATGATATTTCAACAACTTTAATTCCAATACCTATTTCTTCCAATCTAGAATTTCTCCTCATGTATTCTGCATAAAAGTAAATAAGGTGAAAATATTCAGCTTTTCCCCACTTGTGAACCATCCAGTTATTCATATTCCAGGAAGCAACAAATGATTTCTGGTCATCTTAGAAATTCTTCAATAGGCAGATGGGACACAATGTTCTTAAGAGCTACCAACACTTAGTAGTGGCTTATACAACTATAATTAATAAAACAAAGTAACATATTTTAACTGCCTTACCTAAAAGCATAAATATATCAAAGTAAGTGTGATTGAATTTTGCCTTGCATCAGTAAGTTCTGGATAATATTGTGAACTATTTATTTGGAAGTACAGCATATATTTATTTAAACATTTCCCTGTAATTTCTACATATGGATGAGACCAAACTAAATTTCTCAAGTCTAAGGGCAAATACTTCCAAGAGGCCACATATATATATACAACTTTCCCCTGAAGGCGTATATTTAGTCTGGGAGCAAGGAATGCATGTGAAAATTTCTGGTTCTCTTAAAAAATTCATCCTGAGGCTGATTTCATGAATTGTTCTTACATGTCCACGCAAAGCTTAACTTTCTTTTTTTGAGAGAAGAACCTTCCTCAGTATCACAAACTGACATTCTGTTTATCTTCAAATCTATATGGAAGAAGATTATCTGTTCAAATATTTGGTGCTAAATTCAAACGGATAGTTTATCACCTTCCCTGATGATTAACGAACAAGGACGATGTAGGCATTACTGAGTCTTGTTTTACACGGAGAGTTACACAAGAGTCCAGTTCTAGAGTAACTCGCATTCAGGACCTGCCTTGGGCTTTATGATCCT